TTTTTTGTAACATGGGGAAAATGACTTGTAGGAATAGCTACAAAATACTTAAGGGTACAGTTTTTGGGGGAAGATCTGGGGTGGCAGGGGTCGGATGAAAGGGAACATGAAAATTTCCGCGGGGACGGTTTAGAGAATGTCTATGAACATGACCTAACGTGCCCATATGTCCATACATACAGCCATAACACTATGTATCCGACATAGGAAATTAAGAGTGTTTACATTATACTAATAAATCACTACCCGGATACTTCCATAGCATCCCTTACAATCCAGAGGGATGATAATTACATACCTAAATAGGTACTACATAGCTATTCGGCTAGCACTAGTAGCCCTAATTAAGGAGATAGATACTTGCCTAACCTATATCAAGTATAAGCGTATAACTATCCATACGTGTGGGTATAGTATATACCTACCTCCGAACCTACGTAGCCTAAGTAATAAGCGCCTGTTTTCGAGTTTGATGACATACTAACTATGTAAAGGAGTAACATGAAGCCGGCATCTTTTAGAATCGCATATCCGCCGGTATTCGCAAGGTCCTATGTAATTTCCTATGGTCACCTGAATGGAGATAAATTATGCCTTTTGGTTTATGTATGTAGGTATATATACCTATACATAACTTAGCTTGGACCCTTAGCTTATTCTAACCGTATTCCGTAGATATTAAAGAATTGTAACCTGTTACCATTATTGGGTAGCTAGGTAATCCTTGTCAACCCCATCTTCAATCTGCCCGGTTGTACATAGCACATGGACCATGCAGGATATGGATACCTTCCTGTGTACGATAGGTGACCATCTACGTACAATACGTAGGTATATGTTAATAGCTGACAGCCAAAAATTCACCCCCTCATCATGATTAAGTGATAACCGTCCTGATCTATAGCGTCACTTCAGATATGACAATTATATCTCTGTTCAAAATGCCCTCTATTCATTGTTGGTGACGTACAGTAAGCCTATCATCAGGTATTGAGATGTGTGCATAACAATACAGGACAACTACATTTACTCGACCTAACTACTTAGTCAAAGAGAGCATTATAGCTTCAAACACTTAGATATAGATATTCCCGAAATACAACCCTTACATACGCCTTATAGCCTACTACACTACACTGCACTACACTATATTATGCTATACCAACCTGTAATACACTCAAGTATGGGTTTCAAACTCGTACAAGGACAGGCTAACCACCGAAATGACCACACATACCTCTTCATGCCATACGCGACCCATCATTAGATATTATTGTTATAGTCAAACCACCCCGTCAGCTCCTCCATACGCTAGCTTAATAACTTTGCCTGCGCACACGTGAAGAATACTCCAAATCCTATATATCAAAAGTTGACCAAGGGTCTTGGTTGTCATTTAGCGGCCAGAACCGATTTGCTTACGGCGTCTCGCTTGAGTCACGAGAGCCAGTTCTTCTACTACATCAATATAAAAGCGGATGACTATCTCTATTTACGAAGGTGGCTGACCTTCCTTTCTGGAATCCTGCTCTGTTTCTTTTACGACCGACCTAGGTACTGTACTGTACTTGCTCGTCGTCGCTCCGCTACCTATACCTAGCGTATGTAGGAGGAACGAGACGACGATCAGTTCTCGCTACCGGGCAATGCTTTCACCCTCTCTACTATGGTATGGTACACACGGATAACTAAGAGGCTGACCGAGAAATCATTCAGGGTTTGCCTCTTTGGGGTTTGCAATAGGACGAGTTCATCTAAACTGTGGACCGGTCCCTTCAGGCAGACTGCGGATTACTACAGCGGGCGTGAAGATCCAGCAATATTCTGGAAGACTGGTGAAATGAGCCCGGTTTTTTCCCAGCTCAACCAGATTGATCAAACTGAAACTTATCATCTAGTTATGGTGTTTGGATACCCGTGTGCCAGCCTAGGTACCGAATTTACCCCACAACGATGGATCTCTTTAGGTACTAGGTCGTCCAGCTATCCGTCTCATCCCAATATTTACCAAGCCTTAGTGCGTGGGAGGACTAATAACTGTTGCCTCGTCGGCTGTTGGCGTTGACAGCAGCTTGCATGATCATATCCGTTCAACGGGCCGAATACTAAGTGATAGTGTTGAATGTGCTGAAGACGCGGGCGGCCTTGCGCCAACCGCACGCCATATAGAAAGATATCCTTACACTTAAATCTTTACTTATAAGCTCGGACCGGGCTTAGCATCGTCCTAAACCGTCTGCAGATCATTTCTGCGGGGGAAGGATTTCTCAAACCCAAACGGCTTCTCCCGCGGGCTGAGAAGGCGGGCAGTGGGGAGAAATGTAGGTTAGGTAGCTTGAAAAATTAAAATTGCTAGCTTTAATAATGCCATGTATTAGCTATGTAGGTATGTATGTGGTTTCATCCTCCCGTACGGTTGACTTCCCGGCACTTATCCTCTTTCTTCCAAGTTAAGCCTTTATGACTTCCAGAAGGGTTAACGTCCTTAGCGCTTGAGAAATAGCAATGTCATATAAGTAATAATTAGGATTAACTAAGACGGGACGTCGCCAGAGTGACGTTTGGGTATCTCGTAGTCAGGGTAGAGTCGTATTAAAACCAATGGCTTACCTTGCTCATAGCGGTCAATCAGAATAAAATATAGGTAGTCACGAGGCTAGAACAATCCAGCTTTGATAATTGAGAAATTTAGAGGCCGTTTGTTCAAAGTTCCGATATTATTCTCATAGGAGGTAGCCCTGGCCCGCGGATAGCCAGAGTTACTATGCTTGTATGTATATCTGCATACTACTTTTACTTCCATTCTCATATCATATCTTCTTGTATTTAATGTATTCAGTGCCAAGACATGTCCTAATCTAGCGGAGTGGGAAATTTGGTTACACTCATATCATCGTCAGCCTATGGCGAGATTTCGTTTACGAACTACCCCAAATGCTCACCAAAACTTCAGTACTCTTCATCATCGTGAGTTTACTAAACAAGCCCAACCGGTTGGAGTTGTTCCGTACCAGGTAATTCTAAGATAGATAAGCATATCTATCTTCTTCAACGGAAAGAGATGACCATATTATTCTACAGTGCTGCCATGGCACCGTAGAAGAGCTACATAACACCAATGTACTATGGCAACCTTCGAAGATCGAGTGACATGATCTTCTATGCATCTGCTAGGCGCGCTCGGACTCTCGCTAGCCCATGCCTGCCTGCCTTGCTGCTCCCCAGATCCCGCAGGGCAAATTAACTTAAAAGCGGTATTCTTCAAACATGGAGTACCTACATACAGATAGACCCTCTCTCCAGGGCCAGCTTACCTATGAGGCTACGTACCACGAGTACGGTTGCCTCGGCTCGGCCAACCAGCTTCGCGAACGAATTCTTACGTCGCTGGCTGGCGCGAAGAAGAAAAAAAAAAAGAAAAAAAAAAGAGGAACTGATCGTGACAGTTACCGCCCCCGACATTCCATCTGCAAAGAAGCCCGCGCAAGAAATTTGAACGAAAAGGCCGTGCGCTTTTGGGGGGAGACTACTAAACGAGTGTAACGTCGGTATCATGCTTGACGTTCAACAAAAATTCTCCTCCGTCGGAAAATACCTACACGATCGAAGTCTAACCTAGACGGAAGAGTCTAGCCCAGGTGAACCCATCGAGACCTTTACTCACCTGACCCGAAATGGTATTCCGCCGCCACCAACCGTACCTATCTAGTAATCTCATCTAACTACCACTACCTCTACCTCTACTGCTACTAAAACTACTACTACTACTATTTGTGATACTGCCCTGCCCTGCCGAATTCAACTACGTAGCAGCGGCTGCCGCTATGGACCTACATATCTCGCTTCTTGGTACCACCTAGTACCTGTCAAGCGCCGCAATCTGCCTGCCATCCTGAATGTGTGTGACCAGGTCACTACCTCCCTTAGTTGGAGCTGTAAGTCATCGAGGATGCACGTATACCATGTTAATCTAATAAGCGGTTCCAAGTTTTCCTGGTTCTGTCCATCCGTCGAGAGAATACATAAATTTACTCCATGTTAGCGTATGCTACGTAATCGTACCTAGGTAGTGGCCCTGATGTGTAGGTAGGTATGTATGTATGTACACTACATACTCTTCGAACAAATCTAGCATACATACAATTACATACCTTTTTTCCATTCCTGTCGATCTCCCGTATCTTGCTCCAAAAACGGTCTGCCAAGCCATCCCCCGTCTTCGTCATCTTTCCGCCCCAAAGAGGCTAACGACGAGGTCGACGATACGACTTACGAGTCCACGTCAACCACTTCGCCCCTGATCAACAATTTTTCCATACGTAGGTACATAGTGCATATTAATCTTTCTACCAAATAGAAAACGCCCGCCTTGTCGTTAGCTCCGCGGTGATCCTTTTCCGCAGCATCTACCCCATTCCCAGCTGGACCAACCATAGTGTATATGTATCCCGGAAGGCAACCTATGTTCACGGGGGTTGCTATTTTTGTCACCAGAGGCAATCTCACCGGTGGCAACCTCATATATTGACCTACGTACACCTAGGCTCTCCCCATCCTAGCTTACCAAACTCTAGAGAGCTTACTTACGTGTCTATATTAAAATCCACCTAACCCCCCCGCACCCTACTACTATGGACTCCTCCCAATTTATATTGTATGTATGTATAAGCCCATGGAGAACCCCGCATGAGCCCGCACCACATGCTCAAAGTCCCTTGAATTCGCGAATGAGGCTCTAGAAGATCTAAAAAAGATTCAGCTGAAATATTATTCGGTGCAGTGGGCCGCATGACCTGAGAAACTATAATTGACCCGCTTTCCATCGGATATTGCTATTATTCGTATCACTGTATGAGGTATATTTGGCCTCTGAATCTTGCCACGCGAGGTCGGTATACGAAAAGAGTCACTTGTTCTATAAGTCGTACGAGATATATACACATACGTCTACTCTATTCGACCATGGGGTTCTGGGCTTTTCCTGTAACGCCGTAACGCTCCTAGATTGTATGATAATCCTCGCGGAAGATGGCCGCAGTCACTTCGCCTTCAATATCCGCATACGCGACGTAATTCTTGAATAACCCGGTCTCGACATCGCGATCGATCAAAACGACGCGGCCGTCCCCCTGTAGTGATACGGCTGCCAAGTTGCCGTCCGCGTTGATGGAGAAGTGCCGGGGTACCCTACCGCCAGCTGCGAATTCCTGCACTTTCGCCAAGTTTCCAGTTGCGCGGTCAATCGAATACTAGTGTTCGGAGTCAGCAACATTCAACGTAAGGATATAGCTATCAGCCTTGAGCACTAGGAGCTCTTAGGCAGTACTCCCCTCGAAGGAGGGGAGGGATAGTAGACAACTTTGGAATACTCACAGTTATGAGTGGATCTGAAGGGATCTCAGTGCTGTTACTAGGATCGAAGTTTGTGATGTTAAACGAATCCTCCCAGCGAGATGATACGATCAAGAAATTTCCATCGGGCTTTACGTTGTGTTAGTATTGTCTTAAATCACAGCCGTAGCATTCAACACCAAGGACTTCGTTGTCACACTTACCGACACGAGAATCTCAGCCGCGCCTGTCTTTTCTGGTAACTTCCTCTCCTCGCCGTGCGTAGGGATGAAGAATAACTCGTTAAAGCCGAGAGTCTTATTTTCGTTGTATATGACCTCATACCCCGTAATCGTGTTACCGAGTTCAGAGACCAGGTAGAAGTAAGTCTTCTCTGACGTTACCGTGAATGCGCCATGCCTTGGCCCAGACCCGGGCCGTACGGCGAGAGGGGCGATAGGTGTCAAACCGAGGGTGCTAGCATCGGCTTGGTAGATGCGGACGAGGTCAGCACCTAGATCCGGTACCAGGACGTACGACGCGGTAGGGTCTAAGATAGATTCGTGTGGATGAGGCGCCTCCTGTCGTTCGGGGTTGGGACCGGGTCCATCGAGCGTATAAGTCTCATTGTACACCAGAGTGAGATTGCCCTCGGCATTGAAGCCAACGACGCTGACGCTAGAACCAGAACTAGATAGAATTGGTCAGAGATGATGAGAAGATTTTGTCCAGATGATGCTCGTGATTTGATATCGTAAAGAGAGCCAAGAAAAAGGAGTGGACAGCGAACCACCGAGCAAGTTCGCCGCATGCGGAGAAACTGGGTGAAGGTTGGCTTACTAGTGTGCTATGGCAAGTCCGCTCCCACCAACGCCGAACTCAGCGATACTAACTGGCCCTTGTATCACATCAAGCTTGTCCAACGTGGTCAGCGTTCCGTCATCGTCAGTGAAGAAGGTGGTCACGCCTCCGTAAGGACCGTTGAAACCCTCATCCAGACAGAAGAGGAAGTTTTTGGAATAGTCGAGCGAGAGCCATGACGGATTCGGGCCACAGCCCGTCGAGTTGGAGATATTCTCAAGGGTAGCAGCAGCAGCGGTGGCGGAGCCGTCGTCAGGCAGGGTTAGACGTAAAGTCGTGACGGTACCAGCATAGGAGGACACATAAAGGAGGGTAGCGGATGTCTGGCCAGCTAATCCTAGGGACAGCAGCCCTGCGGGGAAGATATCTTTCCACATGGTTGGACGCTTCAACTCGTCGATCGACTGACTGGTCCGAATCAACAGATGGGCGAGGATGAAGAAGGCAAACAGAAAAGTCACGCCAGCAGTGACTATTAAGCCAACGCCACGGGCTCTCGCAATCTGCCCACCGTTTGTCATCATAGCTTGTATCCTTTCCCCCCTCGGAGGCATACAAGATCTATTGACCTCAAGTGGTAATCGCCCATCGCCAGTATCCCTGCCTCTCTAGCTAAGTTGGGTTTATCCGGAGGGACCCTGCGGTCTATCCTGGTCCGGTACTGCATGAAATCCGGAAAAAAAAAATGGCTAGCCGGCCGAGACTATTATGTACGTATTATTTATTTATGTATAATACATACCTACATAGACGTAAGGGCCAAGCCACTGGGTGTAGAAGAGCATAATAGTATGGGACCTTTTGTTATGGAATTATGGTCCTCTGGTTTGTAGGATGACAAGTTTTTTTAGTCTGCTGCAGGGGGTATGGGGGAGAGAAATTGGAGGAGGCTTGTGAAAACAGCATAGCGAGCCCTTCCTTTCATGCCCCAAGTCCAATGAACAAACTCGAAGAAGTTGGAGTAAAGAATCTAGGCTGGTGACACACGGGAGATGGCGTTGCAATGCGGAGGAAGAAAAGGTGGAGAAAAGACGGGACGGTTTATTAGTGAGATGAACTGGACTTTGATGCTTTCCGGTAGAGACAGACAGGGGTAAGGCTTTTTCATGCCGGGGTCGATCCAGGGCTTCCCCATTGATGTCTATTATGCTCCATCGTCTCAGCTCTAACTCTTTCCGGGGCAATGTGGAGGATCAGCATGGTTGTAGACTTTGACTAATATATATAATATATAATATATATACCTGGGTAGATATTTAATTATCTACAATAGTCTCATCGTTGGAGGACAAGAGCCTCCTATCTCTCTTGTAGCAAGTAGATTATTTCATGGAAAATGATATATATTATTACGCTCGGAGTAGAGGGAACTCATAGCTTAAGGAGGGTGTCATCGCCCTGAAAGTCAATTAATCGTGTCGCATCGCTAAGTCCCGAACGCGGAGATCACTTGAGCTGTTCTAATGCGACCTTAGGCTTCAAATCAAGGTTGTGTGCCCTGCTTGCTAGGCTCAACCAGCGCTTGTACCATGTTAGGTATCCCGCAATTGGATGTTCGATGTTCATCTTTAGTAGGTTAGGTAGGTAGCTTGCTTGCTATGCCGTGTCAAGCGTGTCTAAATCGAATGAACTACTACTCTGCACGCTACCCCTGCGTTGCTCTCAAAGACAGAGGCTACTGCAAGAAAGTCGACATAGTCACAGCTGTAACCCCGAGTGTAGCACTAAGAGACGGGAATAGTGCTTGCTATTTTTTCAATACCCCGATCTGGAAATCTAAGGACGAGAAGGGCTACTCTCACGACACAATAGGATAGGAATCATTTACTGCTTGCAGATATGGGTACTAGAAGACCAATCAACCGAAACATGCCCACTCACCCTACCTATGCCAGATATATGTTATTCTCCGTAATGCTTTAGTCGTATCCACTGCCAGTTGGTCTATCTAGTGGCTGAATCGACCCGGTCTCCGAAAATTCCTATCACTCTGTCACTTAAGTACTACTCTCGTTCACTCAGACCGCTAACTTTGGAAGCTCGGCCGACAACATGGATAACGATGCTAGCAAGAAGACCTTGGCTTTCATCTGATCAACTACTATTATGGGGACGACTACATACCTACATAGGTAGTCCACCGGTGTGCTTATATCCGAACTAAGCTAAATAATCCCGCCAAACAGTAGTCACAAAAAAGTTGGAACGCCTATTTAGACCGAAAACCCTCTCTTGGCTACGTCTATTAAGCCCAATACGGCAGCATCAGAAGTCTAAAAGGACGTTGCCAAGAAACAGCCCACATGGCTGGTAGCCATCCTCGGCGTAAATCTCCCTCTACTGTCACATAACCCAATCTCACGGCGTAACATTTTCGTTTCAGGGACGCCATATATGCAAGCCCGTGAGAACCGTCTCCCACGCCGAGTTTCTTATCACAAACCGATTATTACGCCCAACCTACAGCATGTCATTTAGGCCGACGTATGAGCGGATACCACCGACGTGGAACCCGCAATATACTGTTTCCTAAACGAGAGAGATTGACAGTGTTACCTCGCCTCGTGGCCAAAACGCAGAAAAATCAGAGGGAAAGGGGGCTAAACGCGGTTAAAAGAGCCTCACCCGGAATGATTTTGCTTCCAGCGCTAGTAGTTTAATACTGCGTCGTCTAACTAAACTACCTAACCTAATGAAAGCTGTTCAAGTGATGATAATTCGGGTGTTTATCTAACACCGAACCTAAGCTTTATAGCCGATATAAACACGTACCTTTTTTAGGAGTTAAAAGTGTTAATGGCATACTATAGCTATTGATAATTAGAAACAAAGGTGAACATAAGATATCTTGTAATCATTGTATTGAAAGGATTGTGTACACACCAGGAGTTCTTAAGGCAACTACCTAGGTAAACTACACTGCTCATTCTGTTGAATATTTATCCATGAATTTATTAAGTGTAGTGTGTAAAAGATATAACTACCTGCCTAGGTAGAGTTAACGGTAATGGATAAACCCCTATACCTAGATAGTATGATAACAAGACAAGACAACTGTGGATATCCTCAGATGCTCCTCGATGCATTCCTTAGTGATATAATGTTTAATATCAAACACTTGCCTTAGAACGAGACAAGCACCAATCGGAATAATGCAATATCGACGTAGGCTCGGGAGCACGTATTAGCCCCTATTGAACCAAATTTTTTCTTTTCCAAACTATCTCCGAATCTAGAAACCAATTTGGCGCACATTTAGCCCGTAGTGGGAAATCCGTAGTCATCTTGGCAGTACCAGAATGGAGCCCAGAAGATTGATAAACAGTACAGACGTTTACTCTAGTCCTAGTACCGTCCTCCTTTTTATAGATCATCTCTAGGATCCTTGTTGGCCTTTATTTTCTGACGCACCTCCTGGACCATTCTGTTGCTCTGCGGTTCGATACTCTTTAGCATCATGTGGACGCGCATAGATTCGTTAATCGTCGAGTATGACTTCATCCCATCCCATCTTTGATCCCCTACCAACTAGGTTGTAGCTCACGTGCTTTAACACGGCCTACTCTCTCATTATCATGTTGTCTTTCTATCCTGTGTTCCGCATGTAGACTGAGATGCCTCGCGTTGAGCAGTCGAGTGCCTAGATTAGGAAGACGTAATGGAGATACGTGATTTGAAACCTCCACAGAAAGAGAAGTTTTGACCTTAACTCTAACCTAGTAAGCTGACCATTGGTTCAGGCCAACTTCCCCAGAGAAGGGGCCTGTCCCCTAAGCGAGCACTGACAGGAGCTAGAATCTTGAGTTTTCGTCGCTTTTCATCGACCTCGGCCACATATACGTAGCCCATAACGTTGGAGTCGCGGATCATGTCTGCTGAGTCGTGGACTGATGCACATATAACTGATAGGACACAATTTTGTATCATAAGCGACGGCTCGATTTTCTCAAGCATTGTGTCGCTATATATGTCGTCTTCTAGTGTCGCCGAGGCAGATGCTATTCCTCCATTAGTATAAGTACTCTTAGGGTGAACCACGTAGAATGTATACCTTGGTTAACTTTCCAGATCGACAAGGCTGAGAAGTCAACTTGCTGCGTAAAGGGGCTCAGCGTAGTATTCGTATCACCGAAGAAATACTCCTTAATAGCTGCTTCATGAACCTGTTGTAGGAACCCAGTATCTCTTTCCACAACGCCACCAGATTTATCTAGACTAACAATGGTGATTGGTTCATCTAGACTGGTCTTCTGCCCAGCAAATTTCTTTTGCATCTCGCTGCTGATACGTTCTGAACCTATCACGAGCACAATATTGACAGAGAACTCAGCGACTATATGTGCTATATGATCATAGCCTCCCTTAGAAACATTGATCCCACCGGTGTCAATCAGCAGTCCTGCTGTCTTTACATCGGGATCCTCGGTAAGTCGCGAGGTCGCTGTTACAGCTAGTCTACTCAATAATCTCTTATAAAGCCGCATATTTTCCTCAGGTTGTCCTAATCCGTAATTGTATACCAGCGGCAGTTTTACCGGCACAGCACTTGGCCCGCTACTCGGTGTGTTTCCCCAGTCCGTTGTGATATCAATAATGGTCGCGAATACAGCCGCGCTCAGAGATCCCGGTAGAGCGAGCATGCCCTCGCGACAATCTGTATTTACCACAAGGGGCTGGCGCCCCATGCGCGTTGCCCACCCCGTAAGCATCTTCACTAAACTTGTCTTGCCCGCGTTGGGCGGTCCCACGACAAGTATTCGCGGCCCTATTTGTTTTGTCTTATCCGCAGCTGTCCGAAGCGCCTCAAGTTTGAAGTGCAGATTTAGGTAGCTAACCATGGGGGTCTCCTCTGCTGTCGGCTCTGAGGTGTAGGCATCGTAGTTACCGGTGGAGGAGATTTCGAGTGCACATCCATGCCAGGTATTTATCTTAGACTTGGTCGCGGTGAAAGTATAGGGTGTATTTGGAGCAAGCTCGGTGCCATCTTTCTCTGCAGTACCAGAGATTAATTTTATGTCTAGAGTCGAACCATGAGGGACCTCGAAGCGATACTCCCAGAAAGGTTCGAGAATCTCCGTTGTAGTCGGTGCTGCGGCAGAGGAAGATGTTATAACCGGGGCTGCCTGTTGAATATTAGCTAATTGTTCAAAATAACCTAGATTGGAGCGGCTTACGGCCGACGGTATCTCTCCTAGTCCTGGTATCGACATGTTTGCGTTAACTTATTAGTAAATAGTAAATTGAGGTCACTTAAGGAAGAGAAATTGGTATTAGATGCAAGGCAGAGGGTTGGAAGCACAACATTAAAAGCTTTAGGTAAAGCTAACGTTATGTACCGAGCTACTTAATTGTAGGTACCTACCGTGCCGAACTTTAAATATAGTGGGCCGTCTGGCTTCTTTCTTCTTTGCAGTTTCCATAAGAGGGGCATCTGCACGTTACCTACCTCCTATGCAGGTACTTGACAGACTTGAGGTAGGCGTGGGGTAAAGCACTTTAGACCAATGAATTAACACTACCTCATATATCTAATTCAAACATCCAACATACCCAATTCCTACTTTTCTAAATATTTAGTTTTAATTAGACACCTATATGGATATTGAATGAAGGGAATAAATGGAATTCACAATATAACATGTACTTAAATATTAGCATTATGTAGATGAGGATATTATACCTATAACTAGTGGTATAACCATGTAATTCCGTTTTCTCACCTCTTCCAATATATGAAAGACAACATCTGGTTCTACTATTAATAAGAGAGACTTTAATTTCATTGCAAATCGTGAATGAGTCCTGAGTAGTGGTACTCTATTTACATATAACTGGAGTATTGTAATGGGTATCTTGAGGCAGAACTCCAGATATCCCCCCCTTCGAGACGCCAGGTAGACCCTTTCTATTTCATTCATTCGTCCATACAATCAATGCCTGAATGAAATATGCTGATGCTGAATAATGCTTCCGAGTCATCTATGCGATCCTCTCTATTTCTTCTTCAAAGTCACAATTCATCTAAGCGTCACTCCGACATCTCCTCGAAGATATCTGCGAGACTCCTGACTCCAAGCAGCACATTTTCGTCCGGCCCTTGACCAGGCTTCCATGTTGCATGCGCAAAGTCAATCAACTTTAAGGTATATATATGCGGAAAGCTTGACTCCTCATCCGAATCGTCCTCTAGCTCATCAAAGTCTTCCGCCATATCGGGATCGTATAGGTCCTCCTCGGTTATACCAATACCGCTATCCACCCTAAGGTTAGCCACTGGAGCTCGTGAGGTTCCTCTCTTGTGTTCTGGTATAGCGGCAGTATTTTTTGCCTCTTCGATGGCCTCTCGTAGAGCTGCACCGTCGCCTTCAAATACGAAAAGCAGACTAGAAGAGTACATTCGGGTCTCCTCTTTCTCAAGTACTTCTTGCACTTTTCGAAGGTCCTGAGCAAATAGCCCAGCAATGGTCTTGCCGAGATCTTGGTCAATGCCGGCGGCCTCGTTGAATATGTACTTTTTGAACGAGTCTACTATGTTGCCATCGTTCACCGTAAGTCTTCCCCAGTCTTTGTCATAAATTCTGAATCCTTCCTCATCCAACTCTGATTCGTTCGTGGATCCCTTGTAAACTCTCATTCCCGCAACGCGAAAGCCAAATTTCTTGTGAGTGGTCTCCTCGGCGATTTTATTAAATCTCTCCTTCTTTTCTAAAGGTGCATCATCGGCCCATAGCCGAATTCCTAACTTTGCGTCCATAATATTTGGCTTTTTATACCCGAAGGAAGCATTTTCTAATACCACTGCCCGATCTGTCGTGATCTTCCTCGTCTTGTTAGGAATCCATTTAACATTCTCAGAGATAATTTGTTTTTGGATAGGCGCTTCGAGTATGGGTGTCCGATCGTCAAGGTGTAAATGTGACTGGATTTCTTCCTTGACAGAAAAAGGGATGTCGGCATGTTCAACAAGGCCTGGTATTTGCGCATGTATCGCAGCCTGGTCAGTTCCTTCATTGAGTGATAGAGTTCCTATATACATGGGCATGAACTCTGCGAAATCTGGATGGAGGGCGTGTGCCGATTCGTAGAATTCGACCTCGGACTTTGTACACGGCTTGATGAATAGTTCGCCGTCTGCGTCGCACATGGTTCCAGCACTACCCGTACAACTAGATTAGCATAAAAGAATAGTTAGACAGGAAAGTGGCGCAATACTGACTGTCCAGCGACAGCATAATTATAATCTTTCAAGTCGTCTCTCTTTGGAATTTCCCGCTCTCTACTCCCGGCATTCTTGCCGTTATCTCGCATAACTTGCATCTTCCTAAGATATAACGATAGTAGCGTTGATGATGGTCAATGGCCGGTCTATTCTTCCCGCATACTCTAAATTGCGATAGGACAAGATGTTTTGGTAGGGCTGGAGGTTAGGTAGTGAAAGTACCAGTAATGAAGATAGAAAGTGGGTTTGATTGGTCGGCAGGTTGCAGTTGAATAGATCAGATTCAACGAACACCTGACTGATAAATTCTAGTAGGAAAAAAAGGGGGGGGAGTGATCGTTCTTGAATGAAGGTAGGTAATAATTGGGTGTATGTTACATTGTCTCATGAGTTTCAAAAGTAGGTATGTTGCTAGAAATCTAGTAATTCACGGGGTTGCTAAAAGTAAGAGATTCAGGAAGGTTAATATCAATGTGGGACAAGGCAACACAAAGGAGCCAGAAAGGATGATCTGAGCGCAAGAGTGCCATAATTGGAAAATTTAAGGGTCCCGCCGAGGTCGAAGGCCTGCTGAAATATCAAAGTCTACGCCCGCGTACGTCAGCTATTTACCGCGTACCTAACCAAAATTATGGAATCAATCTCGATTACATATAGTACCTTCTATAATATCAGGTACCTACAGGTGTTCAAGGTTAGGTACCTACCTACATCTACCCTAGCACTTATTAATGTACGTACGTGCATACACGCACCTGTGCATTGAAGCACCTAATGTATGCAGTGTTCAACTTTAAGCTGGACCATTGCAAAAAGAGGGAAATGCTAATAGGGCATACATCTATGGATGGGAATTGCGTTGCACCATTGCGCAACAAGCCTTGCCTTAACCCCCCTTAGCACCCCCCTTAGCACCCCCCTTAGCATAACGCGCGACACGCCCCTAACCGCAGCATGCAGATGTACATAGGATGGCAAACAAGGTATATGCGAGCTTTACAGGTTTAGGTAAAGGCAATGCGCTAAACCCCAACCAGCTCCAGCCAGTAAAAGCGCTAATGGCTCAGCTTTGCCCTACCTGCCTACTATGAGATATGGATGTACATAATAGACGGATGACACGGCACTCCCGCCTTTTACTGTGGCGGATTCCAGCAGGGTATGTGAATTTACTACGTTTACTGGCCGTAAATTGATAGAATCATACAAGCTCAGCCACATATCCCATAAAATATATGGACAAATCTGCCTTGAAAGTTTATTTGCCGCATCATTTGACTCATTCAAGGCGGCAGGACAATTTTGACCAACCTCCATCCAGGTAGCTGCAGTTAGTAGATCACCTGCATTTTTGTTGGTGTATCCATGCCTTATATCTTTATCGTCAGAAATATCATAGAGTAGGACTGGGCAGTGTTGATCTAATTTAATAGGGGGTAGTTTACTTCAAAATTGCCGAATAGATCTATCAACTTCTAATATTCCCCCTTTGCAATCTAAGGAAAGGTAAGACGGCCTCCTGCAGGAAATCTGCATAATGGAGATCATCCATTTATATCATCTAGCTATAAATGGGAGATACTACTGAAGTATTTCGGGACGATGCACCTTTTTTTTTTTTTTTGTATAAGTGTCTTAACTTCGATTAAATATATTCTCTGTTAGACGGACGGTATTTAGGTATCCTATACCACATCTCCCGAAACTACCTAAGTACTTATCTATTATTAAACTATTACAGACAACGAATATAATATAACAAACAACATGCGTTTGCTCAAGCTGCCAATATACTTTCATAAGTTGTTTGTTGTTGTAAGGCACGGAAGCTGGTGTAGGTGTTACTTCAAGCATGACGGATAACATCTCCTCTAGATATTACCTGCCTGACATTGTGATTAATGTGGTAATTTTTATCTATTCTAACTTTTACCTAAATTGAGGTACTAAGAAGTCTGCTGAAGTCATCGTTTCTTATTATTATTCTCATTTAACAAGATAAGGTACTGTTATCCTAGGTCAGCAAGTCAGACCTCAGCCCTGGGCTGAAATATTTCTCCCATAAGGTTCTTGCCTAAGGCGCCAGCAACTAAATCATTTCTTGCTTAGAAGTACCGTTTCTTGTAACCTTAGGTAGGAAAGAGCAATTCGCATAATTCAGCTTCGTTGGCAGGCACGCTACTCCCTTTACACCTGCCTTACGCTAGCCCTGCATTGTATGCATCTCAGCCTCATCTCAGTGCATCGTCACTGCCCTGTTTCTCGTACTTTTCCAGAACATCAAATTCTTCAAGTACTAACACGAATTCGGCTACGGCTAATCGATATTGACGACATAATATGACAGATCTGCCTAGTCATCCGCCTATCGAATAAGCTGAAGGAGAAGTAGCAATGTGCGACTTACCCCCGCATACTAACGATACCAACATGGCCATGTCCCTGAATGAACCAACTAGCGGTCAGTCTGACGCGCACAGCAACAAGGAAACAACTGCTGAAGCGGATATCGCAAAGTCATCGCCTAACTCTGAGCCCGGTGAGCCGGGCGGTGACCAAAAAGCTACCAATGACATTTCCACTACTGAAGGTGATGCAGACTCCGCCAACGTAGAAGAGGCTTCCGATGCTATTGATGGAGGGATTCAGCTTGGTGTTGAATCTGAGGAAAAGAAGAAGAAGAAGAAGAAAAAGAAGTCTAAGAAGAAGGGTGCTGCCGCTCGAAAAAATGTTACTGGCTTCGAAGGTTAGTTCTATGTGTGGTTATGCAGGGCGAAGTCTCGTCTAACATCTAGTCTAGAATTCTATGCCGATGCTCCCATAACTCCGGCCGAAGCTGCCAAGGAGAAGAAAGAAATCTATAATGCGTAAGTGTCCATATCCTACCTTGAAACGAACCATGCTAACGTTACCGTAGATCACGCTCCTTCTCTGAGTATGATTTATGAATGTTGCTTAGCCACGTGGAATTTTAATGACTGACCAATAATAGCCGTATCGAAGAATGCATCCAGAGATACCGAGCTAGCCGCCGAATGGATAGCGAACGTCTTATGCTCTTCAACAAATATTTGTGGCTCGGGGGCATCGACTCATCTCCACGCCAGTTCACCGGCTTTGCCGAGGATCGCGATGCTCTTGCCGAGGCAGACGCTGATGAGATTCGCCAGATGACGGCAACCGACTTCATTGGCGGTAGTGGTATCCGTTTCTACGATCCTCTAGAGCCTGAACATTGGTTCGTTGACTTCGAGGGCATCGTGAAATGTTTCCTGTGAGTTATACGAGTGAAATTAGATTCGGAACAACGAGATAGCTAACGGCAGTATCAGATCTAGAGTTGTCCCAATCATCTACATGTACGATGAGGCAGCTAATATCCAAGCTGCGGGCCTCGTCAAGAATTTCCTTAACTATGTTCTGATGCACGACGTTTGCCCCGAGTACACCTTTGATATCATGGCTGCTAGAAGAATCTGCGACGCTGCCCCTTATGAATTACGCATGATGCACGAGCTTATTCTTTCGCTCCCGGGTGCCTTTAATACTGCCGCGCACTCGCTTTTCTGCGACCGACAGGTGGACAAGCATGATGTGCCTGATAACTATGATAAGCTGATTGCATTCCGTGTTACAGTCTTCTCATCAGCACTTGACCAGAAAATCAAGAAACGACTTATTGACTCCGATCCTACTGCTATTCGCGTTGTTAACACAAAGGAAGAGACTTACGAAGTGGTGGATATAATCCTGCCGCGCCAGCGAGACATCGTGATGGTAAAGGAACAGTTAGAGGAAGCTGGCCATTCCGGCAAAGGAAAACCGGCTGGCATTCTTGTTCTAAAGCCTTCTGTCGTTGACTTCGGCTTCAATAACTTGCCTCGTCCGGATCAAGTTGACTTCACTGGCGCAGAGTTAGAAGACTACTTGCTTGAAGACGATTTACTTGAAAAGTTCGACAAGGGAATGAAGATCAAGGCCATTGTATGCGAGCTCAATATTGGTGTTCGCTTCATCAAGGCGGTCAAGAACGTCCACGTCTCTTTTGACCTATTCTTACCTCAGATCCTAATGGAGAACTGGAAGGACCCTGCCCCTAGCACGCGCCCACCTCCATCAGCCTCTAACCCAAATATTGAGGAGAAAGCCATAGTTGATGATGACTAGATGGTACGAGATCGTGATATCGAGCTCAATAAAACAGTCGAAGGAGCCAAATTCGCATAAGAAACCGGATAAAGGCATGAATGGAGTTTTATGTGAGCTCGGATTAAAGAGCTATTCGGAGATGTTTTTCATCGTGGCACATAGGATAGGGCAGGGTGAAAGCCTAGACTATGAAGTCTCCAATGTACTATTTGCTATACCCCGTAGACTGATAGCCGCAAGGCGAACGAATTGCAATGAATTCCTGAGCTGAGATCTCAGCCTTAACCTGAAATTGTTAGAGCACATATTGCTTTGATACACTTTTGCCAAGTGAAAGTTAAGCACTAGGGGTTGCCTCTAATTACTACCCAAAGGTGAACTTAGAGGTATTCAAAAGTCCTAGATCTCGATGGTGTGCGAGCTCTTGGCGCCGTTGCCTCTAACGCGCAACGGCGTATCGTGGCATTGAAAAATTTAGGCCGCTGTGTCTCTTGGCGCGAGTCCGCGCCGCACAACTTGCCTGAAAAGACCGGGATGGTTGGCTATTATTTCTTGGCCTTTTCTTCGCCAACTGGGCGTGTTATCCTCCGCGTCGCCCTAATATACGCGCGCTGCGGTGTGGTAGCCCCCCCTTCCTACTCTACCGTGGGGTCTTGGTATGTAGCTTGCCTAGGTATATTAATAATGAGCGTTCAGCAGGATTGCCGACTTATTTGATAGCGAGTGGCCTACCTTATAAGAGGCACCCTAAGGCTTAGTCGGGTAGATAAGCTGGTAAGGCTATGAATCAGGGTAGTTACCTACATACATACAGAGAGGAGGAATATCAACCCCGGACGGAGCAATTTAGGGGACGAGATCTAAAGTCAGCATGCCACCCAAGACCTTGGCAGATTTGGCAGAGGTCATTTCGAAAAGTAAGTCTGCCTAGTATTGGCCTGGCGAGTTTCTCGGCATGGACCGAAAGGATGGAGCGAGTTCGTTTTTGCTTCAAAGGCCGAGAAGCATCTTCTCTCCCCACGATTTCTTCCCGTCGATCTTTTCTCTCTTTATCCCTTTACGATCGTCTCTTCCCACCCTCGTTTATACATATCAATACGTTCTCTTTTCCCTATCCGATTAATTATTTCGGTTTTTTTATATATTATTATTAATTAATAACCGGCAGCTGCTTCGCTGGCACTGCTTTTTTCGAGTTCCGCCGGTTTCTTGAAGCGCGCTTATACATATTGCGGAAGGCCCTGCTCAGAGGGGCTTACCCGGTAATCGCGATGGAGACCCGACGACGAATGGTCCAGCCAGTAAGCAGTCGACAGTGGCAGATTGCCAAAATCGCGCTGCAGTCTACCTCGGTCGTGTTTTGCATTATAGTCATTGGGGTCAGTGTTGGAAAGACGTGGGAAGGCGATTACGGCGTGGGAATACTGACGGTACCTGTCACCGCTGCGACGGCGGGCTGGACGATCGCCGAGCTTGTGACTCTTTTTATCCGGAAGCGGAGAGGCTCACCAGGTCGTGGAATTCACCCCGGCGCCCACGTCGGCGTGCAGCTTATCATATTCCTGGCGATGATCTATGTGCTGTTCTATTCGTGTATGCTGTGGAGGAGTGTCCAGAACAGCATTGTACGGTGCAACGAATGGGAACGTGATCCTAACGATCCGGACTGGGTCATCGAGAATTACTCCGAAACCGACTGGCGTGGGAATTCTATCTACACCATGTCGTATTACTGTCCGGAGAGGAACCGCATTCTCGTCAATAGCAAGTCGTTTCAGTCAGCCGTACAGGCTCTTATTGCGTTCTGTGGTCTATTATGGTAAGTTTTTTTCTGTCGCCCAGCGTTTTTTAGCGTCAGGTTCCTGACGAATGAGCAGGGCTATACACTTCAGTCTTTTCGTTCGGGCATGCGTCGAAACGCAACGACGAAATAGGATCCGTCCTGCTGCAGTGGTATACCCGCCGGCGGTATGGCCAGCGCAGTATGGTGTTAACTACGCCCCTAACAGCTATCCTCAAGGAGTACCAGGGCCGGCGCCGATAAAGTCTTCATATTATTGATAAATTCGTTTATATAATTGGATGCTTTGAGCATTAAATTATCTTCTTATTGAGATCATAGTAATGCGGAATGAAAAGGGTATTACTAAAGTCTAAGCTTTAAAGTGAAGCTTGGTTGCAATTTTTACTGTAGTTGAGTACGAATCCGTGAGTAGGTGATTCTGGTTTTTAATACCCCGGGGGTTTATGCTGTTACGATCCAAGTACTTGATATTTGTCTTTGGGATTCGGGGGAGTGACAGGATTTTCATCCAACTGTGCTATCAATTTCTTCACGGTAAAGATATACCCATGATGATATAGTTGTATGTCTGATAAATTTAATATATTTGAAATACTCCATGTCAATTTCTCAGGTTCATTGCTAACTTCACTGATTTTAATACGCGGTGAGTTTAGTGCTATTCACATAGTTAAGACCTCAATATTACCTTCGAATATTATTTGTTCTGTCTTACATAATGCCACTCGTAGAAATTAGCTTATATAACTAAGCTAAATCATTTGATAGGGAATCAGCTGCTTTTCGTCATGGCGGGGGCGGGGCTGAGAGAGGTTATCGACTGACTTGCGCCAGCCGCATCGCTGCCACAGTCTTGTAACACTACATATATGCTTTTATTTTACACAGCATATGAAATCTGCTGATAACGTACTAGTTTACCTACCTAAGATAACTAGTTCCTTAATATTTTGACATATTACATTTTACGCCTCCGTTGAATCAATTACAACTTTGGGACTACGGACCCTCGTCAAGATGGTAATACCCCACGATCCGAATTGCTCCGGGATTTTAACATACTAAAGACTAAATAGAGCTCCGAAGCAAGACTCTATACCTTCTCTCAGGAGACCAAAGACCACCTACGAAAGTTCCGCTTAACTACATCAAGAGCCAGTGGGCCGCAAGCTGTGATCTGTATGTATGTCTATCTCTGTCCCCATCTTGCTCCAGGGTATTTCGAATATAGCTGATCCAATGTGTATCTAACCAGATTACATCGACAAGAAGACGTATGAAATTAAGCAAGATGAAGATAAGGTAGTATACAAGTCTCTCGACGAAATTGCCGACGACTTGCCTGATAATTCACCGCGCTATATTCTTCTAAGCTATCCTTTGACTCTGGTATATCCTCCTATCCCTTCTTGTCGAGCAATTACATGGCTCAAAATTTGCTAATTACTGCTGCAGCCATCCGGCCGCATGTCTGTACCCTACGTCCTCCTGTATTACCTACCGAATACATGTAATTCGGAGAGTCGCATGATGTATGCCGGCGCGAAGGAGCTCTTGAGGAATACGGCCGAGGTCGGCAAGGTAATTGATGTGGAGAGCCCAGAGGATTTAGAAGATATCCCCAATAAGTTGAGCACCGAATAAGCTCCCTCCAACCTGACCAGCCCCTGCTTGTTAGATATTTAGAGATTTCTCTATACCAATTACAGCGAGATGCTATATTTGTCTGATACTTGAATTTATTTTAGTCGTCGGGTAATATATGTTGTGCATCGAGACCTATCTCGCGAGCAACGCCTTTAACGACACCCTTGAGCGCTTTACATGCTGGACTATCGGGATAATGGTCGAAGAAGCTCTCCCCGTAGTCACATGCCATCCCTATCCTTGGGTCAAGTGGTACCTCGCCTAAGAACGGGATATTCATTTCCTTTGCTAAAGCCGCGCCACCCCCAGTAGTAGCCTTAAATATCTGACTTTCGTGTGTGCATTTCGGGCACACAAAACCGCTCATGTTCTCTACTAGACCCAGCACTCTTATTCCTGCTTTTCTGCAGAAATCGATTTCTTTTCTTACATCGAGAAGTGCTACCTCTTGCGGCGTTGTAACCATAACGGCACCGTCAATCCCGCTCTCTTTCAAAAAGCTGTTCACGCTGAGATGCTCATCGCTTGTCCCCGGAGGTGTATCGACTAGTAAGAAGTCCATGTTTCCCCATTCTACTTCTTTTAAGAACTGCTTGATTAAACCATTCTTCTTTGGGCCACGCCAGATTATTGCGTCGTCACGATTTGGTAACATAAACTGTATGCTCATGACGCCAAGATTGTCGGCAACCCAGACAGGCGACCAGCCCGTGTTACTAATATGTATCGTCTCAGACTCCACGCCCATCATTTTGGGTATGCTAGGTCCACATATATCGGTGTCCATGATACCAATAGTCATTTCTTCGTTTGTTGCGAATGCGTGTGCGAGGAGACTCGTGAATGTGCTTTTACCTACGCCACCCTTCCCGGACAGGATGAGAATCTTGTGCTTGACTCCTGATAGCCGCTCTGATATTAACGGTATGTCCGGATCTGGACCCTTGGGTGCTGATGCGCATATTGCCTGGTTCGGGCAGCCAGCACATGAGTCGGCTTTGCCGGCTTGTTCGGATTCAGGGCCTGGGCAGTGCTCGGGTTCGGGGGCGACGAGTTGGGGACGTGTCTTAAGCGGGTTGTCGAGGACGTCCTGGACGGCTTCGGGCTCTTCTAACGAGGGCGCCATTGTTACGATAAAAGACAATGAGACGATGTTAACGGGTTGAAATACAACCAACCATATATCTAGAGTGGGTATCAGTGATATTTTTATTTAGAAGTAAGTCTGGTGTTTTAAATTAGGTTAATTACCAATTATCAGTATGATGCTTTGCTTAGAAATCTAAGATAAATAATAGGCACATGCAAAATATGGATAATGTAAGATCGAAGGTGTTATCGATAATATGGCTCTTTCAATGTCACTTGGTGGGGTAAATACGTAGGATAGTACATGTGAGCCTCCGGAATCGCTAACATGCAGATATGCAGCTGGATTCATACGTAATGACCCACATTAAACTGAGACTGCATAAAAAGTAGGACACGAACTAAACCTGATATGGTCTGCGCGGGTCTGCTCGGGTCTGCGCGACGTGAAGATAGAAAACATATCGACAGGGTCCGTTTTAAATCAAACAATTTAACATCAACATCGTCGAACACCCCCTCCTTTCTATGTAGGTACCCATCAGTCTTTACCCAAACATCGTCGTCCACATCTATAGTATCCGCATTTAATCGGTCTGGATACCTGGCTTCCATAATTCCTCCAATGAACATAAAATTGAAACCATGGCTTTCCCTGAGCGTGGTCGAGCTCAGCCGAAGCTCGAAGATGCAGCAAACCCCTTCGACGATCGTGAGCTTTTACGCTCGTTAAATAAGCTGTCTCTTTCCACTTCCTCTTCGAATTCTACGACGAGACCCTCGGCCTTGCGCATATCTCCCTCTCCAACCTCGAATGCGCAATCAAATCGTTCAGATTCAAGATTGACTTCTATTTCCCCTAGCGCTAGGGCGCCCTCTCGAAGTCCTGTAAACCGGGTTAATTCGAACGGCCTCACCTCTCTCTCCCGATCAACAACGCCGACTTTGTTACGAAAAACTTCAATGAATTCTCTACACTCCTCAAACGGGATTACCCCGAGTCGCGCACCCTCACGTCGAGGTAGCTCTAATCACCTCTCTCCAATTGGCCCTAGGTCACCATTGAACATAGCGGAATTCAGGGAGAAGCCGGCTCTTACTGCCTCTTCTGTGGCAGGTTCGTATATGAAAAAGGAACTGGAATTGCTTCATAGCGAATCGACAAGCTACCATCCAGAAACTATAGTCATTCTAAATGATGCATGCTATGGACATCGATATTCGAGACCTCGCGCTACCAAGGGCGACTTGAATAGCATTGTCGAACGACCTGAGAGAATCCAAGCGAGTGTACTTGGTGTATCAATGGCATATGTTCGACTCGGGGAACGACATTGCGACGGAAGATATCCTATCTACCCCGAGCTTGATCCCACCTCGATCCCCACTATCCCTTTTCATATCCGTAAGACCAACCGCACTCTTGCACTGGATTCAGCAGCAGTGACCAATGTTCATGGAACGAAGTGGATGGAAGAACTGAAGATTATGTGCGAATCCGCCGAAGCGAAACTCGCCCTAAACACGAACGAGTTACGCAGACCTGAAATAAATAGGGGATCACATGCAAGCCCTCCTCAGGAGCTCCACAAGGGGGACCTTTACCTATGTTCGGAGTCCTTAAATGCATTCGAAGGCGCGCTCGGGGCCGTTTGCGACGCCGTAGATGGAGTTTTCAACGACTCTCCATATAAGCGTGCCTTTGTTGCCGTGCGTCCTCCCGGGCATCATTGTTCTGCGTCCCACCCGTCAGGTTTCTGCTGGGTCAACAACGCACATGTGGGTATTATGCACGGGTTCTTGAATCATGGATTGACACATGCGGCAATAATCGACTTTGATTTACACCACGGAGACGGTTCCCAGGCCATCGCTTGGGACCACAACAAGCGTAGCTTTGCAGCAACAAAGAATATGTCTGCATGGAAAAGAACGTCCATTGGATATTTCAGCCTTCACGATATCAACTCCTATCCTTGCGAGTACGGTGATGATGAGAAAGTTAGGAACGCCAGTGTCTGCGTGGAAAATGCGCATGGACAATCTATATGGAACGTTCATTTACAGGAATGGAAGTCAGATGTAGAGTTCTGGAAGTTATATCAGTCCAAATATTCGATTCTCTTAGAAAAAGCTCGAAGTTATCTTCGAACGCAGACTGAACGATATCGCGCTTCTGGTCAGGTGCCTAAAGCCGTCATCTTTTTGTCTGCTGGCTTTGACGCGAGTGAATGGGAGGGCGCGGGAATGCAACGACATAAAGTTAATGTCCCAACCGAATTCTATGCTCGTCTTACTCGAGACGTGGTTAAGCTTGCATCTGAAGAAGGGCTTAGTGTTGATGGCCGGGTTATTAGCGTTCTCGAAGGCGGTTATAGTGACAGGGCCTTATATTCAGGTGTTTTCAGTCATCTGAGTGGTTTGGCTGGTGACGACTCTACTCCGGTAAAGGAAGAAATTCCCAATGGACTCGGTTATGAGATGGGCAATAGGGTTGGCTCGCTCAGCAGACGAAATACCTTGACTGGGCAGGGCATCGCAGGATTCCCATATGACCCAAACTGGTGGTCTGGTTCTGAACTTGACCAATTTGATGCTTTCGTGAATGCACCACCTATAGAACAGCCTAGAAAGTCGCGAGCTTTCGTGCCTGGGAACTATTCTTCCCCGACACATGCATCAAGCGCGAAGGCAGTCGATCCCACTAAAGTCCGACGGAGCGTGTCGGGATATTCTCAGTTATCCGTTTCCCGGCCCCCAACTCCACCTCTACCTGATGTACCTTGGACTGCTGCTGCTCATGAGTTAAGCAAGCTGCTCATTCCGAAAGACCGCCAGGTTAACAGCTTTAAGTTTGAGGAGCTGAATGCTGGTGCAACTAAAGCTAAACATGAACGTCAATCTCTTCCTCAGAGCGGCTCAACTAGTGATGATGCAGCTCCAACTGTAGCCCCTGTAAGGAAGTCTCAACGGGAGAGAAAGCCGGTTAAGTATGCTGAAAGCGAAGACCCAAAAACACGTAGGAAAACAGTTGGGGGGTCGTCTATCCTCGCCACGGAGAAGGTAAGCTCCCGCTTAAAACACATCTCGAGTAGGTATCTAACGATGATCTATAGGCTCTCGCTCGAGGGATTCCTACACAAAATGGCTCCGGACAACCTCGAAATCTTGGTGCGGTAGTCGCAATTAATGATGTACCCGGTGCACTACCAAGGCCTAGTACCTCACAAACCATTCGCCCCGAATCATCCATGAGTGTGCGAACTCAGGCATCCACCGCATTGAACGTGAAGAAGACTAGACCGGTGGTGCCCCCTAAAAAGGAGAGCGTTAGGGCACCAAGAAAGACCAAAGCCCCAGTGGTCAAAACTGAGGATACTTCACAACCTACGAGAAAAGATATACCAGTTGATTCGTCCGGAGATTCAGCCGCAATCGTGAAGAATTCTTCAGCCGATATAGAAAAGATTACTGGTGGTATGAAAAAGATTAAAATCAACGTGCTCACCAAGGAGAAGAAAGAAGCTAGGCAAAAAGCCGAAGCCGAAGAAAAGGCTAGAAGGGATAATCAAGTCAGCCAGGAATCGAAGCCGATCGAGAGTCCCAAATTTTCCGATTCCGCAATTGGAATATACCCTTCGCTGCCAGTCGCAGGCGAAGGTGAGCATGCAACCATACTACCCTCACAACCCAATGCTGTGTATGGCGATGAGAGAGTTTCAAAATTGGGCACCGGATTACCCAATATATTGCCAATCCAATCAGAGATTGAGCGATTCAGTCCAGCAAATGTACCAACTATCTTAACACCAGCTGAACCCGACCAATCAGAGTTCCCCCCGAGTCCTCCGGAACAACTCACTCCAGAGACGGGTGAAAGCAAGGCGACTTTTATGCAGTATCAACATAGTGAACAGCTTCCAGCTACCGTTCCGTTTTCTAGCCCAATCCGTATGCCGGAGCCTATTACTAGTTCACCAGCTCGACAAAATGGAAGTCGGATTCCTACGTTTAGCGCATCGTCAGTCCCTTCGAGCCCGGCGCAAAATGGTGGACACGGGTTCACCTCCACGTCAAACATACCCTTTGCTCCTCGATCGATCCAGGAGTCTTGGTCAAAGCCGAGAAACCATGTTCCGGTTCGAGCACGGCCTCAAAGCAAAGGTGAAACAAAAGATGGAGGTATTTGGGAGATACCCGAGACACCACAACGCTACTAATTCTCTCGTCATGAGAACTATATGAATAATCGAGCCAGTAATGGGTATTGTACGCGCTCGTCAGTTCAGCATGAAATAAGTATATTATAGGGGTGCTTAGAGGAGGTTCTCACGTGCGGTGAGATAATGGCGTTTGTAGGGATTGGCTTGCAGGTTTTACTGTCGAGCTATTGATCCTAGGAGGTTTCGTTGTTGTTTTACCATTATTTTACGATACCCTTTTTTCAAGCCGGCCGGTTTGGCTCGTTGCAAATACTATGCTTATAATATGCTCTACAAATTCTGCTGTAGGAATAGTAAATATAATTTCAAGTGCTGTACTAAAATTCTCGTGTAGCTCATCTAGTTTTAGGAGGTTAATATCTGTGGTAATACCGTTTCCCTTGGACAATATTCTAGTACAATAATGAAATATATATATAATACGATAATTCATGGGTTTACTATTGTTTTTATTAGATGCTATAGACGCTATGAGTAGAGGTGAAACCAAAATACCAACCCCAGCCATATATGCCTACAGGAAGGGGGAAAAAATGCTACTCTTCCCAAATGGTATCTAATATGCTAAGGAAAGAGGCTGAAGAAAAATGGCGGCGTTTCGTTTTCGTAACATCGTTTTTAGATTATAGGTTGAAGCCCGAGCCAGCAACGCCAGTGTTAATGCTATCCAAGGGGCTCTGGTTGAGCGGTGCCCCCCCTTCAAAATCGGGACTCACGTCCTGTAGTATGTCGTTCATCTCCTGCTCCGTGAACTGGAAATCCATATCCATATCCTCCGGCAGCATCGCGAGCGCCGCGTCACCGGCGGTGACGGTGGCGATGTCAGCGGCTACGCCGGGGGTAAGCGGGCCAGCAGCAGCGTCGTGCGCGCCCGCGGATGCGGATGCGGATGCGGATGCGTCGTCTGAGAGACCGGCGCTCTGCACCGCGGCCTTGAAGCGCTCGAGAAGCACGGGGTCGTCGCAGCTCGTCTTCTGCATGGCCATGATCTGGCGCGCGCGCTCGCGCAGATGGTCGTCGGACGGGAACACGCCTGTTCGTCCTACCTCGCGACGCACGTACTCCGTCAACCCGCTCTCCAGCTCCCGGCTGCAGAATACCTTGGCCGGCGCCGGGTACCGCTGCGTAAAGGACTGGAGGAACCGGTTCGCGGTGCTGGCGGCGGGTTCGAACGGCCGCGCGTCGCGCACGAGGATCGTCGGGTTCGCATTTAAAGGCTCGATCGTGGCGGCTGGGTTCGGCGCTACGTAGGGCGGCGCGAACCCCGTGCCCCCGGAGCTTGGCGCCCATGCTGCGTCTTTGGGGCTGCCGAGGCCCGGCCCGCTGTCGGCGGGCAGGATCCCGACGTCTCGCTTGAAGCGCTGTAGCCACTCGAAGTTGTCGGCTGCGGTCTGGTTCCATGGGTCGTCGCTGGTGGCGAACGGGTTAGTTGACGGGGTCTTTAAGAAAAGGGGAGCTGGGGAAAGTTGGGGGGGACTTACTCGTCGTATATTAGCCACCGGGCTTGGTAGCGGATTTCTTCGTCGGTTGGTACGTGTCGGCTGGGGTTGTTGGGAGACATGGTCGATGCTACGAAGCGACTGAGACCTCGAGCTAAGCGGCGGTAGCAGTTTGTGTCGTTGAGGAAGTAGGGGCCGGTCTTGATGGAGCTGTTGAGAGCGTTGCTGGTTGCTTGTTGGTCGTGACAGGCAGGTAGCTCGTCGAGTAGAGGCCCAAGGTATTGTGAGTCTCTTGTAAGAGTTTGGTTCTGAGATGGTGATGGCCTCTTGTTAATAGGGGATACGCTCGATGTAGATGTAGTAGCGGCACGATCGCGTGGGTGTCGCTTTCGGAAGCGTTGAAGCCATTCTTTATCATCGGCTGCTGTCTGGTTCCATTCATCGTCGCTGTCGTAGATAATGACGCGAGCCTCTCGCTGGAGGTCGGCGTCTTGTGGTTCGACACCTGCTGACCTCTGTCCCTCGAGGTATTCGCCGAGTTCCCGTTCCAATCTACTGTAATTGTGAATAGTAGAGTCTATGGTCTTGGGATCTTTAGACCTTAGATTAACATCCCCAACATCCTCACTGCGCGGAAGATGCGCCCGCTGTCGAAAGTTCTGAAGCCAGGTTGGAGAACCGTATATAATGCGTAGCAGCCAGTTTGCTATGTCTTCCATGGGGTTACTAGACTTCTCTTCCATCCTACCAATGATACGACAGGCTTCGACTTGAAGTTCATGATCCATGGCCGTTAGGCCCAGTAGCTGCTTAGCTTTAACGAAATCTTGCATCTGTCTCTCGAATTCGCAGTTTTCAAAAATGCTATCCTTGCCGTTGATACGTAACGAGGTTAACCGGTTATCTGATTGTCCTCGAATCGGTCGTAAGGCAGCGCTTCGAGATATCTCCTCAGAAGACATTACAAGATCACGTAACCAAGACGATGCTTCCCAACGAGGGCGCTGGAAATTCTTCGTTTGGATCTCCGATCCGTAGAGAATGGAACAAGCTTCTAGTTGCATCTCGGCATCGTTTGGCGCCCTTCCATTATCTGCAGCGAACATAGTAGCCCAGTGCTGAAGCTCCCATTTTAGTAGTTCATAAGCGTTAACTGGTGTCGCCGGGGGGCTGCTGCTAGCCCTATAAGGCAGGGGGGTATTCCTCTCGTCGTGAATTAAATCTGTTCTCGTCAATTAGATATTTGTATAAGAGAGAAGCATGATTATCTCTCACAAGGTGGGATAGAGTTTTCAACCATCTCAAGCACGGGTGCTTCAAAACCCCAGTCACCCTTCCAGTCAGCCATAGTGTTACCGGTCTTAAAGTGTTCGGCCAGATGGTCCACTCGGATTGTCCAGCTATCTAACACAATACCACAGAAACCACATCGTGACCTAATCTCAGGAGAGGCCACTCGCCACTTGTCCATTGCCCACGGAAGAAACTTTACGTTGTGCACGAGTTTAAGATGCTGTCGGAGATGATCCTTCCTATAAAACGTCCTCTCTCCCAACGTCCGCTCGATACAGCCGGAGAAATTATGAGATTCCATGTGACCATCATCCGGATTCGCCTCGCCGCAAAAGACACAACTCATCATGCCATTATCTGGGTTTAGAGTTCTCGGGCCGTCGGGAGAACATATCCATCTCTCGAGGGATAAATGTAAGGATTTCTCGTGCCGTTGCCAGTCGTGCTTAGTCCTAAAAGTCTCGGTACAGAACGTGCACTGGAAAGTTTTGAGCGGTTGGTTAAGACTTTCATCAGCTCGTACAGGTGGAGCTCGACGACGGCGACGACGGCCTCGAGTTCGGACGAACGATGATAGCGAACCGAAGGAGCCACGCGATTTACTGGAATATGCCGAGGCGAAAGAATTTCCACTGGAGTGAGAGGTACCCAAACTGCTAGCAGATGATTGATTGCACAGCGACCTACTTGATCCATCATCTGAATAGTTGGAAACGTAAGGACTGTTCCGACCCGATCCGGATGTTTGAGAATATGAATTGGAAGAATCTGACACGGCCTTAGCAATGGCTGCCACGGACGCAGGTTCATTTTCCGGCGGAGAATTCGCCCATCTCTGCAAGGGGTTCATGTTCTCGAACAGTGCCGGCGTGCCTCTCCGCTGTGGAATATCGATAGCTTGGACATATCCTCGGCCAATATGAGGGGACGTCGCTCGGGTCGGTTGGATCTTTCCGCGACGGCGGGCATTTGCTAACCAGTTTGTAATCTGTGTCTTGCTAAGGCCAGTTATCTTCTGTAGGCCCTCTTTCTCCTCTTCCGTAGGATACGGGTGTCTACTATGCGTCGATACCCAATTTTTCAAGATTTTCACTGATTCGCGGGAAAACCGTGTACCGCTCTTAGTCGCAGTCTGAGGCTTTAACAATGATTGTCTGTCATCGGCGATTGCAACCAAGCCTGGTGCAGACGGCGCTGAAGTAATCATAGCAGTTAATTCATCTTCGTGTAATATGGACGTCTCTGGTCTATCGCCCATTATCGGCCAGGGGTTCGCAGGAAAAGTCGCGCCCGCCTCGGCAGTCAGGTTATGTTCTAGAGGCCCAAAGCTGCATTCACAACGTAGAGCAACACAACTCGTACAATAACCCTTATATTTACCTTCTCTGATTTGCTTGCACTGGTAACCGCCCCTTGCGCAATGCGTACAAGGCACGGCGGGTATTTCCCAATAAAGCTGTGAGTTGGCTGCAGATTGGGGTTCCGGCAGCGCCACCGGGTCGACCTCCTGAAGCATCTGAGTGGACTCGAAATGTTCAAGAGCCCAGTACGACCAGTCATCCCCTTCGACGTCCCCGAAGACAAGGTCCATATTGGGTTGGTCTATTGATGCAGCAGGAGCGTGGATAGTACCAGTTACGCCCTCCGAGGTGACTACGGGTTCGGAGCCGGTGCCGACTACGGCAGCATCCCAATTAACAAATTCCATCTCTTCTAACTCGTCGATTGTCGTCATTTAGGGCGCGGCCACCGGCCAAGATATTTACACCTAGGGCGTAAGAATTGGCAAAACGAAAAGGGCGCCAGTGTAATGGTAGTTGTAGTTACAAGAGAAGCCAAGCAGGTGACTCAAGAAAGAGGACAAGTCCCTGTTAAGAGAGGAATAGGAATCTGGGGAAGAATACGGATAACCTCGACTAAGTTTTGAAGAGGGGATGGGGAAAAGAAGTTTAAGGCACGCGACAGATGTTTCTCCTCGCGAGTTAGATCCTTAGAAACTGGGTTACGGTAATGCATAACCATTCCAACATGATTTGCATACGCTGCTCCGTTTGTCGCTAAAGCCAACCGCAAGAAATATGAAGATCCCAAGTTGAACAAGAGTCATCGTCCCATCTTGCTGGGTCGCCGTATCGCAACCACCGCAAAAGCCACTTCCGAACTCTGCTGACAGCGCCGAACTAACCCATGCAGTCATGTAATTGAGTGTGGAGTACGCGCCCTTGGGTTGACGAGCAGGGCGTCCGTCAAAATCCGGTCCAAAAAGGCGGGGTGGAAAGGGGATACTATTGGCTATTAGCACTAACCCATTCGCATATTACTGCGACTGTGTATATTCTAACCCCTTTACTGTGCAGTTATGACCGAATAGCGCAGTCCACACCGCCAAGATATGTCTAAGCTGATAAAGGATCTAAATGGATCGAGTGTAGGTATTACCGCATATCAGAGATGCTTCAGGGATTTTTCTAGAAGCCATGAAGGGAATTGGGCAGTCGAATCACGAAAGGCGAAGATGACTGAGGCTTAAAATATGCCGTAGAACGCGACCCAGGAGCAAATTCACAAATAGTTGGCTCACGTATTGTTGGTCAGTTCCAATATTACACAACATCTAATTGCAATTGACCAATAGGAAGCAAGCTATAGAATGTTAAGAAAGGCATCGCGTAATATAACAAGTCATTAGATTTAACCAGTTCTTATCGTCTTGGTTGATTTAGGAAAACTAACAACTAATATAAACATAATAGCAATTTTCAGCCTTAAGATATCCCTGGTGGATTAGTATGCTAGTAGGTTAAGCAAGTAATGTTTGACTAGCTCTTACGAAAAAGTATCACTAAAGTTCAAAGTAGTTAGATGCTCCAGTAATATGCGTATTGATTCATGAGCGCATAATTATTATCAATTGTCTATTAAGTTTACCAACTTAGCTCCAGCTAATTTTGCGTATTGTACGTGTACGTAAAGACTAACTCTACCTGTTAACAACGAACTTAGCCTTGATGTTAGATCTTTCGGATTAACAACACGATAACGCACTAAACAATATTCTATCCTACCAGAAACCTACAACATTTGCCCATAATTGTTTTACCCTTAGCATCTCCTGAATGATTTATTCGTATTATTGAAGAGATGAGTGCAGTAGGTCGGAACCGTTACTACGGGTCGCATAGATTTGTATACGCCCTACGAAAATATGAACATCTACCCACTCGCTACGTAATTTAGTTCGCTTTCAGGGCTTCATGGTTCAAGTCTCAAGCATTCCGTTTACAAGTAGAGTAATTATTTATCGTCCATGGCCGTCGAATATCATGATATCAAGACCCATGATAAAAATCCGGAGAGCTTAAGGACCTCCGGGGAACATAACAGTGGGGCCGGGATCCGAATTGATATCCGGAGGCCGATTGCAAATAACACAGTAAGTATCTCAATTCAAAACTTGAGTCGTATATATACTTGATTTTCAAAATAATTATCCTATTTATAGAATATATGGTATTCATACATAGATTATACGAGTAGTTAGGGTTTAATGAAGTCGGAGTTTGTAAGTGCTGAATCAGGAAGTATTGGAGTTACATGATTAGGTCGGCCGGAATTAAGGAGGGGTCCGGCCGGAGCTACATATTTACGGCCTGTGAAGCTCGGCATAGCTTCGCACATATTCCATATCGAGAGACTCTTTGTACCATTACCGTCCTTCAACGATCCTGGCGGTCACTATCGTATCCCGTCGGGTTGTCTTTTTTGCCGGTTCGGAGGGTATATGCATCCGTGTAAACCATGATATCAAGTAGAATGCAATTATATAAAAGTTTTCTAATGGCGACTCTATGTCCTTTATTTCAAGCATTAATGCAACTAAATTCCCGACTTAGACATTTCAAATCAACCGCTTACAAGTATTCTTACAACCACGGCATACCCCTCTAAGATGGCTCCTATTAACAAAGCCGCCCTACTCAGTGAGCCCAAGGCTCATCCCCTCAAGGTCGAGTCCATACCATGCCCAACTGCTGGGGATGGAGAGATCATTGTCAAGGTTGCTGCCACCGCCATCAACCCTATGGACTGGTACATCCAGATTATGGGAGAGCAGCTGTTCTCTTGGCTCCAATATCCCTACGTTGGAGGGAGTGACGTCGCTGGAACAGTAGTCGAAGTTGGCCCTAACGTCGACAAGTTCAAGATCGGCGATCGCGTACTTGGTCTTGCAGCCGGTTTCGATGCTCGATCCGGTGGCTTCCAGAACTATGTCGCCCTCGAAGCAAATATCGTCGCCCCTATCCCGGCTGACTTGGACTTCACCGAAGCTTCTGTACTTCCCCTAGGGCTATCTACAGCGGCCTGTGGTCTTTACCAAAAGGACTTCCTCGCATTAGACTACCCAAGCGTCGACCCGAAACCCAACGGCAAGACGTTACTGATCTGGGCCGGCGCCTCAAGCGTTGGCACAAACGCCATCCAACTTGCCGTGGCATCTGGTTATGAGGTGTACACAACTTCCTCACCTAAGAATTTCGATTACTGCAAGGGGCTTGGTGCTGCACGTGTATTTGACTACAATAGTCCGACCATCACACAGGATTTGATTGAAGCGTTCCAAGGCAAAACAAGTGCAGGCGCATTTGCTATTCAAATAGACTCGAAGAAAATCGTATTCGAAGTGATCAGCAAAGTTCAGGGCACCAAGTTCGTAGCTTGTGCCATGGAGCCTACTGATGTCCCCGAGGGAGTTCAGGCCAAGATGATCTTCGCTGGCACGCTCAAGGAGAACGAAGTCGGGTCTATCATCTACGACCAGTATCTCCCGGTCGCTTTAGCCCAGAAGAAGTTTCGGTGTTTACCTAAACCGTTGGTATTTGGCCATGGTTTGGAAAATATTCAAGCTGCGATTGATCTGGGGAAGTCTGGTACTGTCTCGGCTAGGAAGATTGTTGTCATACTATAAGAGCTAGCATATGGCAAACCACTGGTAGAAAAATCGACTTGGGAAGCGAGATATGGTGGATGGGGGCTTTGCTTACCTAGAAGCGGTTATCTTATAGCTGAACATAGAATGATTTATTTGTATCTACTGGCGCATTTGTACTGAGACTGGGATATACCAATTAAAGCGTACATGTAGCTATTCTATATTTCCATCTCCCCAGAATATATAGTGATGCCGATTTTAAATAGGAGGTTTTTCTTAAGAAAGATTCTCGCCGAGAAACATCAGTTAAGAAGAACGATGATGTCTCGGCGTTTACATGAACAGGGGTTCCCGGGTAGGTGTTTGATGAAAGACTAAGCAGACCCAATCAAATTTATCCCTTAGCATAAGAGTAACCGGAACAGGGTGACAATTTTACTCCCGTAGCCGGCGGCCGGAATACACTTTCTTTTTATCTCCTTACCCACGCAGTCAGCCGCAGCTTGAAGACAACACCTTGAATTCTTCCCGGGTCCGCTCACACACGGCATCTTTCACATCTTGATTGTCCTGCGCATACACAAGTTCACAGGTATTAGAGTCTAAGAATATGGAGACGGCATTACCCACGAATATTCCCGAGTCTCAGCCTACATCAACTTCTACATCGAGTATAAGAGCATGTTCGAACTGCTCTCGAGTTAAATGCAAGTGTATATATCGGAGTGGCAGCACCATTTGTGAACGGTGAGTTTAGTTTATACATCTTATTGCCGTTCCTCTCAAGACTCAACATTAAATACTGAGACTGTCTAGCTGCTACCGCCTAAAGAAAAGTTGCACGCCAACAGTATCGGCTAGGCGGCTCGTGGGAAAACGTCGCGGCGTTTCCAGAACCGCCCGACTTGAAGAAAAACTTGATAAGCTTATGTCAAGTCTAAAAACACAAAAAGATACCAGAACCCCTCATACAGAAGATGAAGTAGATAATCACGATGAGCAGCAAGGAGCTCTTGAATCCAATACAGAAGCGCCATCAGCTACCATCGCGTCTTCGATGACGACCACCCAGTATCTTGGAGGGACAACCGCATTTGACACTACAAAAACTGCGAGTTCAAATATTTCTTATTCTGACGAAACGTCCCCATCAGAGGCAGAAGATTTCCTAAGAAAATTCCGAGATGAAACTGCAGTAAGTTAGGCTCCTAGCTTCCAAGCAGCGATATATATATCACTAACCACCGAACATAGGGGTTTCTACCGTTGGTCTATATTCCTCCATATGCGAGAGCCCAACAGCTTCGGGAAATGTACCCATTCCTATGGTTAACTATAATGTGCACGGTGTCGGCGTCACCAAGAAAACGAACGGCCTTAAGTGAGCAGGCAAAGAATATTATAGTCCTAAAGGTGGTTATGTACAGGGAGAAGAGCATAGATCTTCTTCTAGGGCTCCTCATATTTGTAGGATGGTCAATACCCCAATTCAACACTCTGAAATCTCGAATCATCTATCTGACCCGCTACTGTTAGGTCGCATTTGCATAAACGGGATAAACCTTTCTGGACATTATTCTCTCAACTTATTGTTACTTTAGTCTGTGACTTAGGTCTCCATAGGCCACCATCCGACCCAGCTATGTTTTGTGCCGCCAGTGGTATGAGCGAGTCGCGAGTGTCAACTCTCCTCAAAGGGCGCCCTCTCGAGGAGCAACGCGCTGTGTTAGGTGCTTTTGTTATTACCTCCATGTTAGTTTATCACCACGCAACCTTGTTTCCCATCATCAATCTAACTCATTCGATATCTGACAAGTTACTTAGGATATCGAACATCTTCAAACATGCACCTGGGCTCCGTTGGTCCCCTTACCTTGACGTCTACCTTTCGAACCTTGCCCGCAGCAGCAAAGCACCTCTGGACGAAAGCCTTACGGCAATGGTAAAAATGCAACTGATCGCAAACCAAATATATGATGACTCTCTATACGCCAATGGTGGCCGACCTCCGGCACTTTATTTATCTGCTCTTCGATCACAACTACACGAGATAACCAGACAGGAAAACCTTAGCGCAGATGTTAGAAATGATCGTAAGTTAAACTTATAGTTACTAATATTAATCCATTTCCTCACTAATATGCTCTATTTAGATATGATCTTGGAGCTCTATCATTTTACAGAGCTTCTGATAAATGAAACCGAAATAAGCAAGCCGGTCACACCATGGAATGAGCCAGACTTACGACGATTTGAGATCTATCAGCGTTGCCTTATGTCAATTAAAGCGTACCTTGATACGTTCTTCGCCACTCCCATAGCTCTTCTCGGTAACATGTCATTCGCTAGTTACCCTCGCCTTATCACGGTTATGAAAGGGTTACATACAATAACCACTTTACAAGATCCAAGCTGGGATCGGGCAGCGGTCCGGAGAACCGTTGATCTCATTCCGACTTGTGATAAAATCATCGGGCTGTTCGAGTATTTAAAAGCCGCCTCGGCTTTAGTTTCACTCGACGGCGGCGAGGATGAATCGTATAACTGGGGCCTGGGGGTTTTCCGGAAGTTGAGAGAGGCTTGGCATTATGACCTAGAAAATATGGACACAACGAGCACCGCAAATCACGAAACTGACATGTTTGATGGAGTTCGTGGTGGAGGGCTTACAACGCCCGTGGACATTGCCAGTGATTCGTGGTTCTTTAATGTGTTCGACGATTTTTAGGAATGGGATGGGTAGGTAGTTAAGTGCTTCGTCTTATGTTAAACATCAAAAATACCTTAGAGGGGTAACCAACTGAGACTACCTACGCATCATCAGAGATATTTATTAGTTTCGTCCCTTTTGATTCAAAGATCTTCAGATGATCTGATGTTTCTGGGTACTTGAAATAACTGGTGGAGTCATCGCATACACTTTCTCGTACCTACCTAGATAATGTTATTGTTTATGACCGGGTTAGAGTATCTCGCTTCCCTATGATGTCTACCTCATTTACAAATTTGGGACCCTAGATAGATGGATGAGTAAGTACCTAACCTAGCCATATACCCATGATAATACGAACTCGCTCTCAAGCAATACACTTATGAGGCACGTAGGCTATTCTTGAAATCGAAAGATGTTGTACGTGTAAAAGACCGAATGATTGGTATGGAATCGACTGTTGGATTTCCGGCGGCCTGTCGCGGGGCTCACCCTTGTATCCGCATGGCAGCGTCCTAGTAATTCTGAAGACGAGACACTATTTTTGCTAGATGGGATGGTGGCGCGGTTCCTGGTCCTGACAAAATGCCTCTATCTTAAAAGTATTACCAGATAGAATATGCGATACCACACTGCCCCTACTACTCATTTTTAGATATGCGTTGCGCATGGAATTGTCATTGGTAGTCTTTGGCCAATATTTTTCGGGACCGTATGTAACAAGTCTGCGTATTCAGGCACAGTGTTCTGAGACAGCAGCTGGTCTATCTACGTAGCCGCCTAAGCTGTCGCTCAGCGGCACAGAACAAGCCTAGGTACTACTCGCTGAATCAGCTTACAGCTCGACGTCAGTCAGCATCACCCCAGAGGGATTATCCAGACGGTTACAGTGATAGAGGATACCTTACGGAAGAATTCCAGGGACATTTCATGATTTTGGAGGATTTTTTTTTTCTATATCCCTGACGAATGATATTATACGTCTTGAATCTTTTTACTATCAAACCTCAAAGTAGGTTAGGTACCTATTGTAATTCAAACCACCCCCTAATAACTCCTAGGCTCAAAAAATTGTAGAACTCCACCCCCCAAAGCCACGTAGGGCAGTGCGCTAAATATATTTCCTCGGATCAGAAAACCTCCATGTGAACACCCAACTCCTGCGCTATGGTATCATGTTAAGGGCATGTCTTATTGCCTCATGCTAAACCCAATGCATAACAGTAAATTGTAAATTGTATATTGTAAATTGTAAATCGATATGTTGATATATTGTTAGTTTATTAGGATTGCGTATCCAGAATCGCTGCATGAACAGCAGCGCCCCCTATGTTGGGGTTATTCAACGCTGTTTGATTTTGCGGTCCAGGCTTAAGATAGCAATTGCCCGGCGCGTCTTGGTCGAATGCGAACGTGCGATTAGTCCAGGCAGGAATAAAGCTGACCCCGGCACAGGTCGCATTTCTAGACGTGGAATTACTGGCGAAGTCCGAAGGTATGTAAAAAGCATAAGATGCGCAAGCGTCGATGCAGTCGTCAAAATTACCCACGAAGAGAGAGTAGAGCGGGTTATTTGGAGCGTCGCTGTTGCAGTATATCTTGAAAATAGGATTATTGAAAACTTGAAATTAGATAGTTAGTAGTTGTTCTAGATTGGCGTCCTCTTGTTTAACCCTACACACTCACATTGAGATCCATAGGTGGTTCCCGTCACTCCTGCTGAATTTGTAGAGCATCCTTTATCAATTGCGCTGGAATCAGTTGCTGTTGACCCTGGTGCTGTTACAGTGACAGTTGCCGGCGAAGCACTGAGTGCAGCCAAACGCGCCTCCGCGTCGTTCGCTCGGCTTGCTTCGACTCCAGTTCCGGCTGCCAAGCCGATGACGGCCGTCGATAAGAGGGCAATGATAATGGATAGAATAAACACCAGTACTGAACATCCTAGTACTCGTTGCGACGCTCTGCCGTGCTCTGATGGTAGTGTAGGACCATACCCAGTTGGATAATCATACATATATGACGAATGTAGAGGATGCTCAACTGGCGCAAAACCTGTATATCCTGCTGACAGGTTGGTTGCCTCTTCAGGCTTTACAGGAGTTGCCGGCGTATGTTGTCCATATGTGCTGGCCACTTCCGGTGCTGCAGGTGGGTGATGAACCTCTGGAAAATTCTGAGGTATCAGCTCGGGCGCCTCGTCGTACTGCGATGCCGTTGAAATATTAGTTAAGCGAGTCAAGAAGAGTTAGAACGCCATCATAGTAAGATAAGTAACTCACTCTTGGAGGCATATTTAACGAGAGAAGTTCAAGCAATAACGCGTAAATAATAAATTTCAATATTTACTAAAGCTCTCGGAGCGCCACAATCTCTAAGTATCACGATCAGGAAAGAAGATCGTGGCCGGTGCCGACAGAAGAGCAATATCAGGAACAACGGGACATAGGTTAGATATGAATGAGTTGCAGAATCACAAGCGGATCAAGGATAGGACTATTAATCCTTGCTCGTTTCCAGGTAACAAGAATCTTTGGTTCGCACAGCATAGCCAATCGCAAAACGAGATTGGACAAGCTCTACTTAAAAACTTGGGCTGTACAATATGTATGTAGGTACCTAACATAGAACACGGACCCGACACCGACAGGGTTGCATGAAAATAGACCGGGGTCCCCGTGACCGAATGCAACTCGGTGGAGGGAAACCATAACATATTAAATTCTAGAATATGTAATTCAGCTTTGAAAGATGGCTATGTATATATTTGCCTACGGCTCTGCTTGTATTTGCAACAACGCTTTGGAATTATATAAGATCGCTGGTCAGCTTTTTTTTATTATACTTGGCTACTTGGTATATGTTTAGTCTAACTATTATATAGCAACAGGTAAGATAAGTTAGATTGGGTCATTTAACTATATCAATTATGATCCAATACTTTATCTTCATACATCTTACTATGTCTAAATTCACTATTACGCTACTAGTTCTTACCCATTAGTCAGTTAAAGTAAGAACTACGATTCCATCCCGCTCGTTAACTCAATTTAATCAAGGCTTAATGACATATAGATATTATACCATGTAATATGAAAAATAGCAAGTTGGCTGAAAAGTACTGGGGTGGTTATATTGGTTAATTACATATATCTTTGAACAAAATAGCCCACACATACACAAATACCTCTAAAAAAGTTGACTTACAACTACTGTTGTCTTTATATTTTGTTTATACGCAGTACGCAAGCTTAATGTATATTATCTTTATTATTTCATCCTGATCGTGGATAGAAGATGAAGGAAATTGTCTTGCTATTAACACGGGGGCGAATTTATATTCCATTGATGGGGCGACACTGTCGTGAAGATACGGAACGCTGACGCCAGCCATCGGAAGAAATGGGCTGAATGGTAAAAAGGTCCCATAAGGCTGAGCACTGAGACCACCTTCCTGGTTCACGATGTCAGACGCTTATTAGTCATTGAAAACAATAAAGGACTTAATAACTTAAGTCCAAGGTTACACTAATAGCACGAGTGTAATTTTATTAACCATATCTAATGCTACTCTAAAATAACCAACTTGCAAGTTTCACCTGTTTGCCATATTTAGCCCAAGGAGTATGTGTATAGGTAGTTCATTCACTATCGCCTACCCCACATGTAAACTATTTAACTCAACTCTCTGCCAACCTCAATTAACGTAAACTAGGTTGAATCAAGTCAAATTTAAGTCTATTCAAACCCTTATGTTAATATTGACTAACTACAGCTAACCTCCGATCAGAAACTAGCAGCTCTCTTTACTCTTAACCATAAGAAAGTACGGTCTTGTTTCCATGCTGCGCACTTGTTATAAGAGGCCGCCAACAACCTTTGGTTATCAAGAAGCACTTAATTGAGCCGCTACTAGTGGCCTTTCAGATGTAATGTATAACTAGCCGAGCTTTCCGTCATCTGTCACATCTCAATGAACAACTCGACTCTTATCAATCTATTACCATATTGTTTTTTCCTAAATTAGTGTATATCTACATGAACTCTATACCTTAAAGTACTACGAGTATAGCAAGTCCTCCAAGCTGAAAGCTAGCAATTGAGCTTCAAGCAAAACACTATAGCAATCATTTTAACATGTGCAGGCCTCGATGCTTCCTCGGTTTAAGCCACCCAAGATGATCAAATAAGTACCTACCTAACCTAACTAGATTATACCGGAGTAAATATCGGAGTAACTATCTATTCAAATACAGCGAGCCATGTAGTCATAAAATCAGTGCATCTGCGGGTAAGTGCTTATATTAAACTTGGAAAATATATTATACTTGTTCTATCCGTTCAGTAACTACAATATAGTCATAATTAGTTCAACCTTTTAACAATGCTTTACAATAACCTAAGACTTGATGTATTTGAGGAAACTAAATTATTTTAAGATATTGTATTTTATATTTTCATAGTTAGTAATACTTAAGTTAAACAAATCGACCTTGATGTCCTAGGTTTACAGTTTCCTTACTTGAGGCCATCCGACGTTACCGGTTCTAATGCGTTGCTACCTGAGCCATATAGTTTTTTGTCTAGGATGCTTAAGTTTGGTATTAGGCATTTACGCTTTTCCGTGTTGTCTTTGGCTTGCAGATAGAGAATGTGAAAAACTCAACTAAGAAAGATTTCGGTTGTACAGATGAAATATGTGATGTCATCTAAAAGGCATGCCCGGGATTGACTTATTGTAGGAATAGTGGTTTAGGTACGAAGTGCTGTATTAGTGCTCAAGCCCCTGATAATGGCCGTCACTGTCAGCTGATGCTCCTACTAAGCCACTGGAAAGAATCTAGTTAGCTGATTGCCTGGAGGTGAAGCGGGGTTAATTCCTTGCCGATCGGAGGTGTGTTAGTTAGACTGTTAGACCGTTAGGTTACAGTACATACGGCAGGTACTCCAATATGGAGGGGCAGCTATGAGGGGTAATTAAGTACATGGAGGTAATTCTTGTAGAGAGTGACGGATTACCCTAGGAGGTACATATAAAGGTACCTCAGCCATCAGGGTCCAACGATGAATAAATTAATCCTTTATTACATGCTTGTAGCTATACCTCTTTACTAAGCTACTTGGGGTAAGGTACGGTACCTTATTCTACTACCATCCCACGTTAACGCTATTCCATAACCACGGATGGTGCCTACTGCTACATTACAGTTGATAAGTAAATACGTCTAGTACTATTGTACGTGTAGGAGCTGTTCCTACTCATAAGCCGCATATGTATGGTGAGCATTTAGGTGCAGTACAGTACATCGGACGGAGTAGTAGCTTACCGCTAGAAGCATCTAAATGATTTAAATGTGGCTGAAATACACTAGACTCCAGCAGATGGACCAATCATTTGGTTCCTGACTCGGAATGGCGGGAGAGAGCGTGGGTAGGAAGGTGGGAGGTGGAACTTTCCAATTGGACTACGTCCAAGTCGTCCAAGTTCAAGGGATTCGAGTAGAATTTCTGGGCTCTTCTTTCCTCCTCTCTTACTTTTATACCTTTTATACAAGTATACAAGTACAAACATTGAACTTGTTATGTTTAAGTTGGTCGAAGGAAGTTGTTTCTTTTTCTAAAAATAAGTGAATAGGCTTCTCAATTCTTAATTAGAGGGCCATTCCTATGTGTTTCCTAACGCAAGATTGCTAGGTGAGCAAGCTAGATTTTCTCTTTAAGCCTGATGCAAGTCCCTTAGCCATACCTAAAACCTTACTCTTTAAGCCTTTTGCCTCCCTTCCTCTCTATAATGTCCTTTTCTGACTTCGTCGCGTAGATTTCATTTGTGACATTCGTACTTCTATTTTCTACGCGTCCTTATTAGTTGTATTCGTCCTGTACCGTATCGCCCAAAATGCATATCAACGAGATGCTCGCAGACGCCGAGAGGACCGGCCAACCGTCCTTCTCTTTCGAATACTTTCCCCCAAAGACAGCCCAAGGTGTGCAAAACCTATATGACCGTATGGAACGCATGTACGACTTTGGACCTAAGTTTATCGATATTACATGGGGAGCAGGAGGGAGAATTGCTGAGCTGACCTGCGACATGGTCGTTCAGGCGCAGGCCTACTTTGGTCTCGAAACCTGCATGCATCTGACTTGTACAGATATGGGCGAGGACAAGATAAACGACGCGTTGAGGAAGGCGTACAAGGCGGGTTGTACTAACATACTGGCACTACGGGGTGACCCTCCTCGCGAAAAAGAGCAATGGGTAGCTACCGATAACGGATTCAAATATGCGAGGGATCTTGTCGCTCATATACGAAAGACGTACGGGAATCACTTCGATATTGGTGTTGCCGGCTATCCTGAGGGTTGTGACGATAATAAAGATGAGGATATACTACTAGACCACCTGAAAGAGAAGGTTGACATGGGTGCTACCTTCATTGTCACGCAGATGTTCTACGACGCCGAAAATTTCATACGGTGGGTAAAGAAAGTACGAGAAAGAGGCATTACCATTCCGATTATCCCTGGTATTATGCCTATTGCAACTTACGCCAGTTTCTTTCGACGAGCAAACCATATGAATTGCAAGATACCTGAAGAATGGATGACAGTTCTCGAACCGATCAAGAATGATGACTCTGCCGTGAGAGAGGTTGGAAAGACGCTGGTTGCTGAGCTTTGCCGAAAGATTATGTCGGCCGGCATTGTTCACCTTCACTTCTATACTATGAACTTGGCTCAGGCAACCCGAATGGTCTTGGAAGAGCTGGATTGGATGCCAACAACAACCCGCCCTCGAAAACAGGCTTTGCCATGGAAACAGTCCCTTGCACTTGGGCGGCGCGAAGAAGACGTCCGTCCTATTTTCTGGCGTAACCGCAATAAGTCATATGTATCAAGAACTCAGGACTGGGACGAATTTCCGAACGGCAGATGGGGTGACTCGCGTTCTCCTGCTTTTGGTGAATTGGATGCATATGGAATTGGTCTAACCGGCACGAACGAGTCTAATCGCAAGAGATGGGGAGAACCCAAGTCTGTTCAAGATATTGCTTCCCTCTTCGTGCGGTACATGGAAAGAGACCTCCCTTCTTTGCCTTGGAGCGAAGCACCTCTAACCGGCGAGTCGGACTCTCTTAAAGATGATCTCATCAAGCTCAATCAACGCGGCCTATTAACTATCAATTCCCAGCCAGCAGTAGACGGCGTCAAGTCTACACATCCAGTGTACGGATGGGGGCCCCCGAATGGATATGTCTACCAAAAGGCGTATCTAGAGTTGCTGGTCTCTCCTGATTTATTTCCCGAGATTATTCGAAGGATTAACGCCGACCCAGATTTGTCGTACTACGCTGTTACTCAGTTTGGGAAGCTCACGACAAATACCCCTTCCGAAGGTCCTAACGCGGTCACATGGGGAGTTTTCCCGGGGAAAGAGATCGTACAACCTACAATTGTCGAGAGTACTAGTTTCTTAGCCTGGAAAGATGAAGCCTTTAGGCTTGGCATGGATTGGGCCCATTGTCATGATGCCAACTCACCCAGTCGCATCTTGATCGAAAAGATTATGAACGAGTGGTATTTGATTAATATCGGTAGGTTACCCCGTAACCCTTAGAAGAGAGTAATACTAATGTAGATTATGTAGTCAACAACGACTTTCATCAGCCACGAACTATATTCGAGCTTTTCGATGGGTTAACCGTCAAAGACATCGATGTGCCCGTGGCACCTGTCAACGGGGAGCATAACGGGGTTCATAAGGAGACGAACGGCGTTTAAGCTGTTAAGCAAAACGGAGCAATTGCTATGGTATAAACATAGCGTTGATACAGGGAACGGCGTCATTGCACTTTTCAACAAGCATTCGGCAGGCGGGCAAAGGGAGTTACCATTTCAACAAGCATATATCCAGGCGTTTGGAAACGGGGTCCAGATTTTTCAACAAAAAATCGGAGCACAGGTTTTGGGCTTAACGGCAACCTGGGAAAAGGGATAGGCTGAACGCGGGCTGTGCTGCATCATATCTCAACGATACCCCAGCAATGAAGGTGATAGTTTCGAGCGCAATTGTTTATTTTTGATTTTTTGTAAGCCGAGAAATTATTTAGACGGCATCTACCGCGTTAAGATAATAAGTTCGCCTGAAAAAAGAGGCATGTCATTAATGGCAACATGAAGCGCATTGCCACTAAAGATGACGAGATAAGGCCAATAAATTGAATACCTAACTTATAACTTTCAAACTCCTGATCAAGCTCGATAATTACATAAAATGCAGGGAACTCGTAACTACCTACCTAAGTTGTTTTGTATGAAGATGTTCGCCTTTGATAATTATTACCGATATCTCCGATTTATCCCGCTTGTACATAAAACCGATTCGGTTATGAAAAAAAAAACAAAGTGTGCGGCTCAATAAGTCAACGTCGTATTACTATGTAAATGATACATACCGAATCTAGATTCTCAACTCTTATCCCTGCGCTACTCCCATAAAAGTTTAGGTTCTTTTATAAGCGAACCAAATGCCGATTATCATTGAACAACGTGCCTGTGTACGCTCAAAGCGTCTTAGGACCTGTAGTTTTGTGGGATGCCAATTCCGCTGCGAATTTCGCACTAGTTTGAAATGAAATACTCCTTAGCAAACTCCTTTTCAGTATGTACTTGTCTTTTTTTTTGAATAAAATCAAAAATAGCTCGGTTTAAACTATATATGCCATATATGTCATTAATGGAACTAAGTTTTGAATTATAGAAGGAAGTGAGTAAACATAGGTACCTATGAGGTAGCGCGAAAGCTGAAGGTATCGTTTACTAACCTATCAACCTACCTAGGTAGGTACCTCCTTATTAATTCTTATTGACTTACCCAAGTGTGGATGTCTGTCTGCACTTCTCTTTTTTTTCTTTTTTTTTCTTCTTCCCCTATACATACCCCTTGACCGCAAACATACGAGGTACATTTATGATGCAACCCCTGTCCTACGCTGTTCCTTACTAGTTCTTGTTTTCTCTCCTTCTCCAGAACTACATTTCCTCATTACTTTTCACGACGTAAAAAAGGATTTCCTCCTAATAATTGTTTTTGTTGGGCAGGTTTATCATGGATACGATTATTATCAGCCCGGAGTTACCTCCGAACGATGTTTTACTCCTGCGGAACCTTGCCGAGGATATCAAACAATACCAAGAAAATCGGTCCGGTCCGTCTAACAAAGATGCCGTTACGGCACCCGGCAAAGAGCCCGTTAATGGAGGTAGGTCCATCCCGTTAATCAGAGTAAGGGAGTTGGGGTAGATCCCCAAGGAGCTACTCCGGATCCGGGTTCCGTGTTGACTAGGATTTTATTGTAGCCCTTGGACATGGCGCCCCTTCATCTAGGGATGAACACGACCTGGCTCACATGAGAGCGGTTAACGATCCGTCACACCAAGAATTCGAGCCATCCATATTCTGTTCCGTGGACTTTCGAGATTTATCATCACGACTACACCCCGTAGTATACCAGTATATATTGAAGCCATACATCAAATGGGCTCAGAGTATTGCTAGACATCCTAGGGTATGTATAGCAATATCCCATCTTATGCTTATCCCATCACTGTTCTCAACGCATACTAACATGTTTGCAGTGCGTGGCCATAGTTTTGCCCCCAGTCTAAAGCCTTCTCATAAAGAGTTTACTGATGAGAATATAGCGATGTGATTATGGTTACACACCTGATCATCTACTTTACCACTTCAGTCCCTAGCGCAATATGGCTCTTCTACCATTTTACCTGGGTGCATGGGATTATCCACACTGCCATGCAATTTTACTACGTAGGCACATATACGTTAATGATGCACCAGCATATTCACGCAGGAGGCGTGCTACGTAAACAGTCCTGGGTCCACCTGTTCGACGTAATATTCCCGTATATTACGGACCCTTTGATGGGCCACACATTTAATAGCTATTATTACCATCACGTTAAACACCGGTCAGTTTTCTAAGCCATTCTCAAGGTTCCTTCGTATATAGTAGCTAACCTATCCGTAGTAAGCAAAATAACTACTATTTTCTCATCTCCTCAAAACTTGCTAGTTGGATGTGCATCGAACTTTTTATAAAGGTAGGGTTCAAATGCTAACTCTTATCTATCTCGGCTGTTAGATCACGTTGAAGGCAACGGGCCTGATGACCTCTCCTCGACTGTCCGTTACCAACGCGACAACATCTGGCATTTTCTCCACTACGTTGGACGTTTCTATTTCTTGGTCTGGTTGGACTTACCCTTGTACTTCTTCCGGAAAGATCGTCTTACGTTCGCATTAAAGACGGCATTTTGGGAGCTATCCAGCTATTCTATGCTCCTAATTCTATTTCGGCTGAATAGTCGTCCAGCATTCTTCGTATTTTTGCTCCCATTCATGTTGCTTCGCTTAGGACTCATGGTGGGCAACTGGGGTCAGCACGCCCTTGTGGATGCCGACGAGCCCGACTCTGACTACCGATCCAGCATTACCTTGATAGACGTTCCCGTAAGTTCTAATCTTAACTACCCCTTTGAGCTGGGATGTAACCCGTGGTATACGTTTTGCTTACCACTAACAATATTTAACTTGTAGAGCAATAGATATTGCTTCAATGACGGATACCACACGTCGCATCATCTAAACCCTCTTCGGCACTGGCGCGAACACCCCGTGCACTTCCTAGCCAACAAGCAGACCTACAGCGCGGAACACGCGCTCGTCTTCCACAATATAGACTACCTAGAGATAACGGTGCGATTGCTGCTCCACCATTATGAGCATCTAGCACGGTGCATGGTACCGATCGGGGAAAAGCAGATCGCCATGACTATCGAGCAGCGCGCCGCCTTGCTCAAGCGCTGCACGCGACGTTTCACCGAGGAGGAGATTAAGGAAAAGTTTGGGGCGCCTGTTAAGTTGGCGTCTAAGACTAAGTGATGGATAGCGCTGGGGTAGGAATTGAAATTAATCGACAACCTGTCCGGTGACGGTATGAGTGAAGAATAGATTTCTATCATCGGGCATCTTCTTCATGAGGAGCGTTTTCAAATTTTATATACCCAAGGCTTTCGAATAGACCAAGGTTATACAACGTGTAGTTAGTTAATAAATTTAATACTATCATCGTCAAGTGTTTTAGTGAGTAAAAGGTACCAAGAGGATATCGGCCGAGGATATTCCGTGATTAGTGAGAGTACATAGACGCTTACCTGAGATGATGCTTTAGCTGCTTAGTTCGGTAAATCCGTTACTCTTGCCTTACTGTGTAAGTTCTGGAGGGGCCAAATAGTTTCTGGTTGCCCCGTTTATTCTCCAAGTCGAATTTCAACTTCACCAACTATTTACACTTTATTCTACTAGATCCTATTGTGTTCTTAAAGAGGAGCCAGATTGTAATTTATTTCTCATTTATTGTCTAGGGTTAGGGACGGAAAGTAGGAAGTACCATTACACAAGACCTCGGGAACTATTTTTCTTCATGATCTCGCGATTGTCACAGCTCGCTCGTCATCTTTTAAGACCTTACCCCGAGTTTAGTCGTCTATCCGCATCCAGATCCAGCGGTCTGGCATCGAGAATCATGGCTTCGGCAGATGAGCGGAATTCGAGAACTATACATACAGCGGCTTGCTTAATCATTGGCGATGAAGTTCTTGGGGGAAAGGTATGGGTCTTGTCCTATCCGGCTAGATATCTTATACGCAGTGCTTCTAGCTAACTCTCTTAGACAACTGATGTGAGATTCTATACAGACCATAGTTGGATATGCCGAAGACTAATCCCTTATGTCAGACAAATTCTGCTTATATGGCGAAGTGGTGTTTTTCTCTAGGCATGGTAAGAGCCCCGGCGGTTAACTCCTATCATAAACGCACGCTAAAATTCATGCTGTTATAGAACTTAAAGAGAGTCGAGGTTATTGAAGACGACGAGGATGAGATCGTAGAAGCGGTACGAAGAATGAGTGACCGCTATGATTTTGTCGTGACAAGGTACTGCTTATACTAGAAAGAGCGTGCCCCTTACTAGATCGATAGTGAAACTAACTCCTGTCTAGTGGTGGCATAGGACCGACGTAAGTTTAAAGAGCTTGTCGTGATCATATACAAGAAGCTCATCTGAAATAGACACGACGATATCACTTACCAATCCATCGCCAAGGCATTCGACTTGAAACTCATATTGCACGAAGAGGCATATGAACGAATGAAGAAACTTACCAAGCCAAGCAAGTCTCATCCGAATTTCAGTTGGGATGTAGAATCCCCAGCCAAAACTGCACGGCTTAGGATGGTCTACTTACCCATTGACGAGTCACGCGACCTGGCAAAACAGGCCTTATTTCCACGTGACGATCTCTGGGTTCCTATTTCCGTGGTAAACGGGAATATTCATATTCTCCCAGGTGTACCAAGGTTGTGTAAGTTGCTAAATCAATTCGAACTTCTGCACAATGATACTAATGCCTACCAGTCGAAAGCCTTTTGCAAGGTCTCAAACCGTTCATAGTCGACCGACTAGTAGATCCCGAGGGCAAAGGAATTTTCAGAGCTATCATCTCTACGCCGATGGGTGAGAGCGCTATTGCCGGTTACCTCACCGATTTGGCAGATAGAGTCGCGCATAAGGGTGTGAAAGTCGGAAGCTATCCTCGATGGGGGAAGAAGAACAACACGGTTACTCTGGTCGGAAGGGACAAGGAGTATATCGAGAGTTTAGTACCGGAGGTTGTGCAGAAAGTCCAAGGAAAGCGAGTTCAGAATGAGGGAGAGGATGATGAGCCGGAGGTCGTAGCTTCGACAGCCACCTAGACATACATACTGTTAGTCCGACTTCTTGATAGAGACATACTAACAGCTCGGCGCTATTCTCCCATGCCCCTTCGTAAATAGAGAAGGTGTTAAAGGAGATCTTCGATAATTGTACAGCTAATTCGGCCGATCTGTCAATGCTATGATTTTGTGTCGTTAGATTCCTCTTTCATTGCATGAACGACATGATTCCTTCCGGAATTCGACTAGAATCGGAATTGACCTACGCAAAGCGTTCCTCAGCTATGAAATATTTATTTTCGGACTCCTTCTCGGCGTGGCCGCGGACAGTTGCCCGTCTTCGCGGGGTTGATTTGGCAATCCTTGCTTAGAAGGGCGACTTATTCTGGTTAGAACATGTGTTGACCCATGACAGCACATGCATGAGAGATACAGATACATTACTAGTGGGCTTCTAGAAAAGTTAAAAATGGTTCTGGTTTTCTGGAGTATGTAGGTAGAAGAAAATTGATCATGAAAAATCCAGCGTCTGAGGGTAAGTAGATAGATAGATAGATAGATACAATGATGTTAGATAGATTAACGGGGTTAATGACTGTTGGGTAACCTTGTCACGATCACATCGCGTCGTCTTGATGGATCGATTAGGGTATTATTAAGATCAAGGCTAAGTGTATGTTAATTGTTCACTAGGAGAAAGGAAATGAAACTCATTTCCAATTCCAGACCCGTGTCACATTGTCTTGTCCTTGTGGATTTAAAATTTTGGATTAAAATTTAGAGGGCCTCTGTTCTTATGTCCATATGGGCGATGAAAATACCGTTTGTGTTTCGCTCTGGTTACCTATATACTTTGAGTCTTTTGGACAAGAATTGAATTATTCATTCATGGTTAGGGATGTATTTAAAATAGTTACGTAACCTAACCTAAGTAATTAATCAAATTTATAGAAACTTAGCTGAGATGGGAAAATATTGACTGTACTATATGATGGTAATCAGTGCTGGTGTTGAATATCGTAATAATTAATGATGGGCGAGTCGCGGGACGATTTGCCCACGTACATAGGTAAGGACCCATGATGCCTGTAGTAGGTAGGTAGGTAGGTAGGTACATAGGATGTAGTAGGATGCTGATCGATGGGGAAGCTGGTTTGGCGCTGGCGCTGGCCGCTCGCCTTGCTTCGCGCGTCGTTGAAGAAAAAAATATGATGGGATGATGGGATGGATGATGGGCTAGCGGTCGACGTTCTAAGCCAGTTCACCGCTCAGGGTTACATTTACCAGCATTACCAGTGGGGTTCAATAGAGAGGTGGTGGCTGGTTGGTATTTTTTTTCTTCCTTTTTTTTGGAGGCTGTCTATTACATATGCTTCCTTTCACGCGAAGCTGCCATTGAGCGACAAGAATTAAAACTGCTGCTTTACATACGTACATACATACATGGGATGGGGGGATGGGACAGCAGTGGTTCGCGTATATGTGTATATGTATATATGTGCCGATGGTGATGTGGTCGATGACATCGACCCAAAGAATGAATATTCCGGCCTTGCAAACGCACAGAGTGGAAGCTATATGTATGTGTATATGTAGGTTACACATCACCTACATATATAGGAAGCCATCCAGTTGGCGTTCGTCGGATGATTCTGATTCTTAGCTGGCGGGTTTTATTGATTGATTATGGGCCATGATAGGTGCGCGAAGAAAAGGACCAACGTGTGTGGGATGGAATGGAGGATAGAAAGTTTATAGCGAGTTAGAATGGAGCGAGCGGGTTGAATTTTAGGTGCACGTTGTAGTTGTTAGTATGTGATATGGCCCCTGATAAGATGTGACCTTGAATTTTAAGGTTGGTGGAGTATCGCATTCAGATGTTCGTAAAGACGTGTAAGTGGTCGCCGAGGCGCTGGAGGGTCAAGTTCTCCTTTTTTTTAGTACATCGATATACCGAATATACTATTTGCTGAGCGACAGATTCGTGTTTCTTCTTTTACATTATGTTAGGTACTGTAATTGATCAATTCTCTGTGGCATAACAAGGTTGTTTTGTTAACTTTCGGTAAAGCTGAGTTATGCTCAGCTAAAATCTACTAATACCTGGGTAATTCTCGGATATTGGTCACGTGCCCCACACACGGCCAAACTCCCTCGATGGGGTTCATCAAATCCCATCGAAACCCAGCATCGGATGAACAATCATGAGTAATAACGAGACGAACTGAAGTCGTACTCATCAAATACGAGATTTACTGAAATAGGACTGTCGTAAAACTGATGATATGTCATCCATCGTAGGCGTATTTCAATTCAGTCGAATACTCTAGTGGAAAAGTGACGATTATACATGAGTGGTGATGAGGTCGTTCCTTGAAAATGTCATCATGTATCGGCATCGGTCAACCATGGTTGACAAGTAGGCGATCAGCGGATGAAAACGAGGCAGAATTGCCAGAACACAAACGAACCCAAACTCAACCTCGTCACTCGTCGGTCAACGTCCGGCCCAAGGCCACCAGCAAAAGTCCGAACGCCCTCAATGCGTTCTTGACCGTCGTCACCAACTCTCCAAGTTCGTGGAACAACCACCCGCACAGGACCACCAACCCTTCCCACATCTTAATCATAACCTGGGACCCGAAAACTCCCACCGCAAATCCCACGGATCCTGCCTTCATCATCAGTCGTCGCTCAGCTGCTTTGGCGCGACCTTCAACCTCTCTCAGCTTCGTGTTGGCATCTTCTTCAGCCCTTTTCACCTCTTCCTGAGCATTGTTCTGTGTTTCTTTCATCGCCGTCTGTAGATGTTCACACTCAGCCTGCAACACAGCCAGGCGCTCAGAATCTTTTCTCCAATCTTCATACTGAGACTGTTTAGCCTCATACTCTGCCACAACCTTTTTCAACTCTCGTCGTTCGTCCTCACCAATCTTGACCTTATCTCTCAGGTCGTCGTTCTTCTTTCGAGCATCGGTCAGTTCATTAGTGATTTGTAAGAGTGACATGTTAGCAGCAATCAGTCGGTCCTTATTATTGCCACCTTTGGTGGGCCATGATCCATGAGCACGCCAGAACACCAGATCCTGTTCTATCTGTGTCGTGGAAGAAGGTACAGGCAACATACGAATAGGGATACGTGTCAGGTCAGGGGCGATGATAACGTCGTCGCTGGTGTCGAAGAACAGCTTTTCGTTGAGGTAATATGAATACTCCGAAGTAATCTTCTTCTCAACCTCGACGGGGATGATTCCCATCTCACAGCATCTGATCGTCTCCAGCTTGATCCATGATGGTCGGTCCTCAGCCATGTACTTTGACCAAGTTCGGCTTCGGGATTGTTGTAGTCGAGGGTCATACCTCCTTATCTCCGATTTGAGGTAGTCCTTGTATCGTCTCGGAATGTCGTCTCGAATGAGACGCTCGCTGGCCGCATGCCATTCCATCACCTCATCACCGGTCAACAATGCGCGATCTTTCGGGGCCATCAGTACAAACTTAGCAGGGATGACCACACGCTGGTGTCGACTCATCTGAAATCGAACATCTCCGACCATGTTCTGAAGCGTCTTAGTAGTTTTGATTTGTGGCCATCGGCATGACTGCGCGACGGTCATTGTCGGAAAGAAAAGGGGTCGGCCCGTTTCAATTTCCCTCTGAAAAATTCTGATCATGCATTTCCACGGCAGGTTCCATTCCTCGATGATACCAGCAGCATTCATGTGCCCCACAACTGGCTCATCAACGGCCGCTGGTCCATTCTGTTTCTCAAATGCGGTTCTCATCGAAGCCAACTCATCCGCGTTCAGTTCGTTCTCCGTCTCCACCTGTGCCATGAAGGCAGCTGCCGATGGTGGCAGGGGATACGGACCAAACAGAGACTGACTTGGCCGAGCTGCCTGACCACCAGATTCGGCCATTGTGGTCAATCGTTGTACTTTACTCAGGATGTATGAAAAGAAGGCGAGTAGGGGATCAACGTGGATCGACAGATATCAAGTTAATGCCAGAATGTATGAACCGAAACGAGGGGGTTTCAATGATTTTGTATAGAAAGTGTGACCACTCCCAATAACTCCCAAATGATTATGAGGAAAAGTAACTATCTGTCCAGCGGTTCTGAAAAGAAAATGGTGACAATTAAGAAATGAATGATTGGATAGACAGAAAAACTGAAGAGAAAACTAAAATAAAGGAAACTTAAGGAAATAGTCGATGATTTTGTGAATTGAAAAGAAGCTAAAATGAAGGAAACTGGATAGATAATCGACGAGTCTGCAGCGGGATAAAGCAGATTTCGTCGGTTCCAACGCGGGACCGAGTGTCTGTTCGAAAATGTTGATATGTATCTCAGGCGCACTCGTAAGGATGATAAAATTGACCGTATTCGCCACGTCTGTCAGATCGTTGTTGAGACGTAGATGAGAACTGCTGAAACGTGATTGAAAAGAGTTGAGACGCGGTTGAAAAAGAACGAAGATTGAGGAGAATGTTGAAGTTGATACTTCGAAGTAGCTAATTGGTGTTGATTGTTGATTCAATTCTCTGTTGTTCATGAACGGAAAAGGGTGGCACTTTCCCAAATTAATTTGTTTGCTTTCTGTAGATGTACCATGTATCGTGCCTGCTTTTTTCAGATGGTTTTCGGATCATTGATTATGGGTTGTCGTAGCGCCGTCGTTGCCGGGGTGGGTCCAGTATCAACGGTCTCAAGTCCACCCGTCGCTCAGGATCATCTGGTCTTTCGTCTTGTCCCGGGTTGGTCGTTTCGAGGAGTATCTCATCCCACCCGCCCATTGTGGTCTCTCCCTTTGCCCTCACTGTCCCCGTTGGTAGCGTCTGTACATATGGCTTCACATTTTTGATATGTACTTTCCGCGGTCGTCCCCCAACCAACGGATCCACTGTTCTGATTGACACATCTGATGGGATGCTTGTCACCTCCCATGGCCCGCTCCATCTCGGCATCAGTTTTTCTGTCCTCTTGTCGTCATGCACTTCGCTGTGTGGCCCTCTTCTACGAAACTGTCTAATCTTCCGATCTTTATCTCCCACATATTCCCACACCCAGCTGCCGACTTTGTATGGATTGTCAATCATCAACGTTTCTCGGTCAGCCCTCATCACCAGGTGATCAGTCATTTCTCGCCGTAACTCCGCTCGTTGTTCGTCCATTCTCACCTCTCGGTTGGGTTCGTTCGTCAACACCTCTGCATCTCGGTCGGACAATATAGGGGCTACAGGCCTGGTTTGCCATCCCAGCATGATCTCTGATGGAGAAAGTTCACATCCGTTCATCCGTCGTGCGTTGATTTTCGCCAGGGCTGAGGGTATCTCCTTCGGCCACCTATCTAACCCTTCATATCCCATTTCTGACGCCCATTTTCTCAGGTGCATTTTGAGTTCCTTCATATTTCGTTCGACCAAGCCATGAGAGTATGGGGCATTCACTGGCCCATGGGTTACCTTCGTTCCCCTTTTCTCAAAATACTTCTCCAATGCCTCTGAAGAAAAGTAAGTCGCATTATCGGTGTACAGCTGTCTTGGGTAACCAAAGATCGCCGACAACATTTCCCATGTCTTCATCACCGTAAATATCGACAGCTCGCTGACCACCATCCCGGCCGTAAATCGGGAGAAGTAGTCTATTACCAGAAGAATATATCTACTTCCGTTCGGTCCTGATGGCGTTATCGGTCCCATTGCATCCATGCCCACCAAATCCCACGGTTCCATGACGACAACTCGACGGGTCCCCACGCCCACCGGTTTCCGTGGTCCTGTCTCAGCACATGTATGGCATTGTTGGTAGTGTGCCATCACCGATTTCCACCTCGTTGGCCACCAGAACTTACCGATGAGGTTTCTCAATGTCAACGCAGCTGCGTAATGCCCATGACCGTCATGTGCCCATTTCAACGCTGTGGGTAGTTCGTACTCCATCAAGCATTCTGAGTACCGTCCCGAGTTTTCCCGCCGCATCAGAAATCCGTGTACCATTCGGTACTTGACTGCTTCTTTTCTGATGAATTTTTGTCTATTCGCCGGTAGATGGTCAACCGATCTGGGCCCCAGCATGATGAACCTCACCATGTCTGCATAACAATCGTCATCATCATAGTTTTTCGCCAGCTTCGTCAACACCCGGTCATCATTTGCCATTGCTGAATAAGGATATATCACCTCTGATCCGAACGACTGGGTAACCTCATTCCCTCTCCCCAACTTTACCTCTGCCATGGAACAGAAAAATGGCAATTTTTCCTCATCCACCCTGTCTGCCAAATGCACCGTTGGCCCAGTCATTCTCGATAGTCCATCAGCTATCTTCATTATCTTTGTGGTATTTGGGCGATGTTGAACAACGAATTGATACTCTCCCAATCTTTCCAGCCAAACTGCGATTCGTCCTTTAGCATCGGGATCATTCCCGAATGTATTCAACAAATTTAAGTGGTCGGTGTATATCATCACCGGCCATGGTGACTCGATGACCAACCACCTACACTCTGCCAGACATTTGACTATTCCCAGTGTTTCCCGTTCCCCGGTGACGTATCTGGATTCCGCATCTGAGAACTTGAATGACATAAACATGAGTGGTCGAACAGAGTCCATCAGTTTATCAGTGACGGCCGTCCCCACTGGGTGATTTATCATCTGAAATAACAAACCCCCTGCCCCCGTCAACGATGCGTCAGTTGCCAGATGAAATTGTCTGGTCATATCTGGACTATACACCGCACGATCTTGTATTTCTTCACAAATGGTTGTGAAAGCTCTCGCATGTTCGTCTGTCCACTCGAACGTTTTCGGGACAATTTTCCTCTGGACTGATCGTCGCCCGCCTGCCGTTGTCTTGTACTCTTTCTTACTACATGCCGTCTTAATTATGTTCACCAAATCTGTTCTCCCCGGGATGAATTGCTTCAGAAAAGGTGTCAGGTACAAGAATTCTTCCAGTTCTTTAGTATTTCTCGGGTGATTCTCAGGAAGTGCCCATTTCGCGAATCGGTCACGATGTTTCATTGACGGCCGTATCATACCACCTGACATTTCGAATCCCAATGTCATAATTTTGTCTGCAAAAAGGGTCGTCTTGTGTGGTGACAATGCGATTCTCATGAACGCCAATCGTGGAAAGTACTGGAAATGTAGGAAATCAAACAAACTGTCGAAATCTCTTCCGGATGCGTTATGGTCATCAACGAACAAGTCAAAAGACACCCCCCATTCTGGGTGATGACCTATGAGCTTTGGTATGGCTGGTCCAGCCGTGCCCGGCTTCGCTGGCCATTCCCCAAACCCCAAATCTCCCAATGCACAATACGTATGAGGGGACCCCGTCATGCCCTGAGGCATTCTCATACTGAACCATTGACCGTTCGGGGCTATGAAGGCTGTCTTGTCTCTGTCTGGCTCCCTCACCGGGACTGCCCAGTACCCGTGTGCCGCATCTCCCTGGAAGAAGACGTGGTGGTTACCTTGTATCAAGACATAAAACAACCCGTCGCGACGATGTACTGGCCATTGGGGCTTGATAGTTGCTGAGTTAATTGGGCGGTAGTTTTGTACGATTCTCTTCGTTCCATTTTTCTTCAGTGGGAACTGTGTATAGGCACCCCATCGTGATATTCCCGGGATAATGAGCCCTGCCTTTTCCAGTTGTGGGAACGTCCGTCCCGCGAATTCTCTCTCGTCTGGTGTATATCTGGGCTGTCTCAGTCTATATGGCGTGACGCTCGGGTCTACCAACACTGAGTGCTCCACCAAGTCTGTTGTCTTCAGGTCTGACAAGGCTTCCACAAAACAATCCCGCCACGTGTAGGCCAATCTCTTCGCCATACTCTCCTGTTCGCGCGTTTTTGCCCCGGTCCCCACCGTAACTTTGGATTTGTCGAACCATTCCTCAACTTCTACCATCGGAGCCTCGGTCAGTTGGCGCTGATGTGGTCGTCTGTTGACCATCGGTCGTCCAGCGTGGGTCTGACTCATCGGTCGTCCATCATGGGTCTGATTCATTGGAATGTGTTGAGTTGTTCCCATCATCGCTCGTACTTTTGCCATATCCGACTGCCTGGTCATTCTTGCAAAATGGGATGATGTATACCATTCTGCCTCCCTTGTCACCCACTCCAAATCATCTCTGTGTGCTTTATCGGGTTCAATCGCCTTCAATGCCAGCATTGCGTCGTCTTGGTTATCTAAGGCGGCTACGGTTTCGTGTTTGTCGTCATATATGCTGAGAAATGCTGGACGGTCTTCAGCCTGTATTCGTTTCCATCTATCAAAACACGGATCTGTGAAGTCGTTGTCGTCCACCACATGTACAATGTGAGGTACGAGCGGTCCCACCACACTCTCTCCCTCCGGTGCCATCAAGTGTTCATCTCCATTTGGCATATACTTCGGTATGATTAACCTTGACCCTTCTCCCGGGTTGGGAGTGCTCGGAGGTGGTGCCCATATGGGGATATTACTTGTTCCATTCTCCCCAAACGATCGTCCGTATTCGCTCGTTTCCAATAATCTGTTAACGATCCATAAGTCTGTCTCTGATATGCTCCGTCCAACTGGGACCATTGTCACCAACGCTGAGATAAGTTTCCGCATCATCTTTCGACCTGCTAATGATTGTTTGGGATGTAATATAACTTCATCTGATGAGTGTGTAGGAAACACTACGACTTCCGACTGGAAACTAACTCGCTTTCGTCTTCTAGGAATACTCAATCCGAGGGAACCATCATGTCCGCAGTGAGCCTGACCTCGGTCCAGACTCACCATCAGTTTTTTGGGTGTGATTGGTTACCCTTCGAATTCACCACGGCAAACTCTGCGATGTCGACCATCTCCTGCAGGAGATCCGCCTCCGTCAGTTCATCATCAATATCACTATCCATCACATCGTCGTCATCGTCCAAATCCCCATCATCGCTAGACGAATCTGAACCATCCTCCACCGCCGGAGGGGAATATTTGCTCAACTTGCGTTCAACTACGATTGGTCCCCTCGTCCGTGCTGGGCGCATTTTCACCGTATGTGACTGACCGTTGATCCCAGTGATTGTCAGTTGATCAGTACTGAAGTTAATCACTGCTTGGTTTCTTCTCAACCATCCTTTGCCCAGCAAGATATCATATGATTCGTCCATTCCCACCACATATGCCCTCATAATTGACAGAATTCCCCCAACCACAAATGGGAACATCACGTAGTGATGGATGGGGGTAGTCGAGTCATCGGCCATCTTCAGTTCACACTCCTCCTTGACTGGGATCAGTTCAAGTTTTCTCGCCTTTGCACATGCCGGGCTGATCAGTTCCGACAACGACCCACAGTCCACCATGCATCGGTGAGTTACCGTACCCGATACTTCTCCCTCAATATATCCCATGTATGTCTGTCCATCATCTGGTCGTGCCCGGTCACGAAATGTGATCTGTGCCACGGACGTTTTCATCCGAGTGCTCGCAGAATGGGGTTCGTGTCGTCCTTGTTTGTCTCTCTTCAGTTTGGACAAAGTTGTCTTCTGTCTACGTGATGATACTCCCATTTGCCTGGCCAACTGTGCCCGCAATGTTGGGCTCCGATCCAAAAACTGTCCCCACGTAATGTTCGGAAATGGAGTGATTCGCAACAACTCGCCTATGTCGATCCGTTCGTCTTCGTGATCTTCGTATGCCCGAATGGGAATCGTGTCTCCTTTGGTTTTCTTCACGGTGTCTTGTTTTCGTTGCTGCATCTGTGCTTTCACTTCGCGCAATCGTCGGGCTAGTTCCTCTTTGCTGGGTATGTCCATACCCATCTTGCGTGGATGTGGGGAGTCGGTTCGTCTCCCTTTGCCCTTACCTGGTCGTGTCTGGTCATGGTCGGGTGTAGTCGACATCCGGACGTCACCGCCCTCATCTAATTCGATTACTCGCTCACTCCCTCCAGCCATAACCTCGGCCTTTCTCTTTTCTGCTGCCATCGTGAATGGGTATCCTCCATCCTCATCGAACATCTTGAAAACTTCGTTATCCTCGGTCTCATCAATCATCATTCCGCCCACCATGTCATCAGTTCCTTTGATCAAAACTCGACCGGTTCTCACCGGGACTGTGCGTCTGGCCTCCACACCCATCCCTTCTGCCTGGTTCGGTTGCGGAGGGAGGTCGAATTTGATATCTTTTGGTACGGGGTCGCCTCGAAACACCGCATCCATCACCAGTCGTTGGTCGTTCCATGGTCTTTGTGGTTTGTCACATTCTCTCGATGAATGTCCATCTATCCCACAGTTAAAGCAAACGAACGGTCTCCGCGGGCCCCGTCGTGCATCATTACTTGGCCCATTGTAGGTGGGTCCGACCTGTGACGGGCCAGCCTGTACTGGTCCGGTATTGAACGTGGTTCGTCTTCCATCGTAACCGTTGACCTTCCCTGCTGCCATCACCGGTGGCATGTTGGTCGTGGACAACTGTTGCTGGGGTTGAGCATATGGTCCGTATCGTGCTGGCATCGTGGTCGGCATTGCGTACGGGGTCTGCCCTCCGTAACTCGGTGGTGGTGAGAAAAACTGTGCGGGAGTTGGATGTTCTGTCCGTTCTCTCATCGCCCGGAAAGCCAATCCAATTTCTCTGATGGCATCGTCGCCAGTCATGGGCATACTGTGCTGAGCACCTGTTTCGACCTCTGCAAAGAAGTCTCCTTCTTTACCTGGTATCGCTGCACACTGCATGATAGCTCTACGCACATCATCGAACGTACATGCCGCCGTCAACTTGCCAATGTCATCGGTTTTGTTCGCTGCGTGCAGCCGATCTGCCACTCTTTCCTGCACTCGTCGGTCGTTTTCATTTCCACCAGTGCACATCTTGGTATATAGTCTATCTCTCAGGACTCTGTTCTGATTATCATCAGTTTGGTCCGCCAGTTCTGTGGCTCTTCTGACATATGTCGACAGCTTTTCGTTCGTCTGTCTCTCAAACTCGTCTATCTTGGCTGTAAGCTGAGCATTGTCTGAACTGGCTCTCCACGGGAATCTACGTCTGAACGCTTCCTGGAGCTGAGGCCAGTCCGCCCGACGATCTACTGCTATGTTTCTGTACCATTTCTTCGGTTCTCCTCTCAATCCGTTGCGAAATAGGGATTTTGCCATATTGGTCCGGTCAATTTCATCTGCGTCTCCCCCCACGCTCTGTCGGGCTGCTATCATTACATCATCTAGGTAGTCTTGGGGATCGTCCCCCGGCAATCCCTCAAAAATGAGGCTGCCTCCTACTGACAAAGTCATTGTTCTACGTGTATGTGTGATAATTGGGTTAGGTAAGTTCGTCTGAGTCTGAGTATCGGCTGGTGTTTGGTCGGATATTTCCAACTGTGCCAGTCGTTCTTCCAGTTGTTCCAGAGAAACGGTCGGTATCTCCTCACCGATTATGGTCACTGCTGACGGCACCGCCGAGCTCGTGGTAGGTACTTGGGATGTTTCGATATTCGGTCCAAAATGCCCTATCGTTCTCCCAACCCCAGGATCTATTACCAATAAAGATTGCCCACCTGCTTGACTTATCTGATTATGTGTGGATATGGTTCTCAGTGGGTTGATCAGAAATTGTCCTGTTACCAGGGGATTCTGTATTGTCTCTGTATTTGATAGGACAAGTTCTGGACTTGATGATCTTGTTGTATTGTCTTCTTGTTGATGTCTGGTAGTGGTTCTCCCCTCTCTCCCGAGGTCTCTTCCACTAATCATCTATTATCGGGTCTTTTTAATCACTTACTTGTCAAAATTCGGTCTTTTTCATCAAATTCAACAAAAACTCTCTTCTCCGCGATGGGAAACCGCGCAGGTTCGAATCCTGCAGCTCTCACCATTTGTAATTGATCAATTCTCTGTGGCATAACAAGGTTGTTTTGTTAACTTTCGGTAAAGCTGAGTTATGCTCAGCTAAAATCTACTAATACCTGGGTAATTCTCGGATATTGGTCACGTGCCCCACAGTACCTAGCATCATTAGAATTGAGGCGACGTATATATGTATTAAAGCTGACGCAAGACACACGGAAGATAATTACATATAATTATACACATATTCAAGTCATAGTTTAGATAACTAGAGGTAGCTCTGCGATAAGTACAGATATATGTATAGGTAAGTATGTACTTACTGACTTACACGTACGTGTAATAAACCTCTTCAATAATAATATGGTTTTAGCTATCAATAATACTAATCGTAGAGAAATATATCATACCTAGGTAGCTTAGGTACTCAGGTACCTTATCTCATCTTATTAGCCCGTAGGTGTAGCGCTTAATCATAGCTATCTTACGTAGTCCGGCAGGGTACATGCGCTAGCTAAGTGCCTGGGGTATCGGTTCTTTTATATCCAACCAAATCTACGCTACCTAAATGGATATGTTACTATGTACTGTACATATTTCTCCTTCTGTCTAGGTTACATATCTCATGTCATCTCTGATAGATGATGATTTCAAGGCGGACGGACAGGTGCATTAAATATTTAACTCAAGTATTTCTACATTAGGTAGTATATTATGCTTATGTAAAAGAGATATATGTATATTTCCGATTGTAAATTACTAGCGGTCATTCCTTACTTAGGTTTAGCGTAGTCCACTCTTGGAATTAAAAGAAGTTACCCACCTGCCAATTGACTGATCTGGTGATCCGTGCCTGTTAATCAAAGTGCTGGGAATCATATGAGAAACTTTAACAGCTAATGTCCAATCAATTTTATTTGGTCCGTGATCCTCACCTGCCCCACTGATATCGTATGTGCGCCGGAGTACCTACGTGAACATTTATATACATTTAATATATGTAAGTGTACACGTAGTTGTAAGTACATTTAAGTACCTCTCTCCTTGTCTTTTATATCTTCCATGTCCATCTGCTTATGCTAGGTAGGTACCTAGCTAAGATACCCACCCCCTTTGCAAGTGCTATGGCCAAGCAACCAAAGCAATCAAGCGCCCCCCATGAGTTCCTTCTCTTTACCTCCAAAAAGTAACCGCGTAGTGAAATCAACTCCCCCCTTCTTCGCCGTCACTGCATTCTAAAGTGATCCCTAAAGTGATCCACGGACGCATACACATGCACACGACGAGATATCTTCTCTTTTTTTCTACCTGTACCACCAAGATCCGTCCCGATCCTTTTTTTACTTTTGTAATCCCTTTCTTTCGTTTCCCCTCCTTCCCGTGAGATACTGCCGTAATCCGGCAACACTTTCTCGCCTCTATTTTTCTTTACTTACTTCCTTCTCAATCAGAATTTATTTCGTCGCCGACGGGTCATCATCTTAGAATCTTACAATACCTTATCCCATAACTATCGCTGTTCATCTGATCCCCGTCCCTTAAACTCCCGCCGAATCCGTGACGACAAATATCCTTTGTCCGGCCATTTGAGACAATCTTAGCTGGTACGGTGCTGCATCAAAACCGTATCTCCTTGACTCAAATTTCTGCCGGTTCCCTCTACTGCTCGACTCAGTTCGAATATTTATCAGTAGAACGACGCATCGTTGCCAATTGGCGAATTCACAATGGCATCCAAGGTTTGTCTTCCCTGTTTCGTGCGCCTTTCTCTAATCGGGGTATCGATTGCTAACTTATTCTTTTTTTTTTCATCTAGTTTTTAAGAGAGTACAAGCTGGTTGTAGTCGGCGGAGGAGGCGTGGGCAAATCTTGCCTGACCATTCAATTGATACAGAGCCATTTCGTCGACGAATATGATCCTACCATCGAAGGTTCGTCGGAGTCTAAATACTATCATTTCGGCTCTTTGTAAACTGTCCTGGGCTAACATGTTTTCTATCGATAGATTCGTACCGCAAGCAGTGCGTTATCGATGATGAAGTCGCTCTACTCGACGTGCTTGATACAGCCGGCCAGGAGGAATACTCGGCTATGAGGGAGCAGTACATGCGCACCGGCGAAGGTTTCCTTCTCGTCTACTCGATCACGTCCGATCAAAGTTTTGAGGAGATCCGTACTTTTCAACAACAGATTCTACGAGTCAAAGACAAGGATCCTACAGACTATTTCCCGATGGTTGTGGTGGGCAACAAATGCGATCTGGAGAGTGAACGCGAGGTCCCCCGACAAGGTATTTAACTCTGATACATTTTCCATTGTGTATGTCCTCTTGCTAACATATGTTATAGATGGTGAGGCTCTTGCGAAGCAATTCGGATGTCCTTTTGTTGAGACCTCCGCCAAGTCCCGAACAAATGTCGACAAGGCATTCTTCGATCTCGTTCGAGAAATTCGCCACTACAACCGCAACATGCAAGGTCTGTCGACGAACAGTGGCGGTAACGGTGGTTTGAATGGCCCGGGTACTAAGATGGAAGTGAGCGAGGGCGAAGCCGAAGCTGGTTGCTGCTCTAAGTGCATAGTCCTATGAGGTGGTTGAGGATGGTGCGAAAGTAATCGGTTCATTGATTGGGCAACGCATATGAGAAGATGTGGGTGCTTACCTACCTGGACATGTGTAGGGTGCGTATGCGTTTGTGTCTATGCGCATCCGACATGAGCGCTATGAACGATCTTAGCAGGTTCAGGACGTATATGTCGGTTCGATCGATGCAAAATTGTTGCATGGTAATGGGAGTCGGGGTCTTGCAACTTATTATGGGACCAAGCAAAATCATCAGCATCTGAAAAGGGGAATAAAGGGACAAATCGAGTGGTTAATCTACTATTACCCGAGAAGACAACACTGTCTATGCGGATTTGTGGACGACGCGTTTAGGAGTACAGAATACTTCGCGTGGACCTTCTCAGGTCCAGATCATCGCAGATGATGTGGAAGATGATATCTCCTGCTGGTCATTTCACTACTTGTAATGTTCTTCGCTTATTTTCATCTTCGTTTTTTTTTAGTGGTTTCATCATAGATTCCCCCATTTCAAGTTCAGGCGTCAGTTCAAATAACCTGGTCTCAGAAAACTTGTCTCTGTGCATGTCTACTCCTAGGTCCAACCTAAGGCCGCATACCTGTGATATATTGCCTCTTGGAAATCAGGCAATCTAATGAATTATACAACATCTTAAGTCGCTAACCCACATCGCCTATAGTGATGTTTAATGAATCTTAGGCCGTATGGGATATGGGATGAGCACAAGAAAACTGCATAATAGTAAGCAAAATCGAAGCGTAACTATTAACTACCTAGATATTTATTCATACCAAGTCATTACTTAGATAACTTCACTTTTGTTGACTGAATAAATAGGTACCCAGGTAGGAATGGAGTCGTATGGTGATAGTTTATATTGATTGAGAAACACAATCAACTCGCTCTTGGATGTTGCTAAACAAAGAGCGGGAGAATATATTCCTTCCCTCCCAGCGATGTTGTTTGGCAATAGTTAAACTGTTCGGCGTCAACGCATGAGAACGACTAATTGCATTGTTTCTAACGTTGATATAATAGCATGCATGCTCTGCTCTATCGTCAGAAAAAAGAATCTCAGCATGATCATTCAATAAAACGAATAGACATTACAGAATTTCAACAAAAAACCTCCACGACTTAACATATCCTACATCTTATTAACTTACCCTTGAGCTTAGAATTTATTCAAAATGAATCGAGGAAGAGTACGTCGAAGAGACGAAGATGAAGATGAATTTGATGGCGTGGACCCCCTATCGAATGATAGATTTAATCCTCACATTACTGGCTTCCGGTCGGATACTGTTTGGAACTATTATTTCGGTGGCCATCGCTATTCACAACTCGACGAGTGGCGTAGAAGATACTATCCTACCAGCCCCCGGTGCGATTGGTGTATGATTTACAATCAACACTGCGATCACCCTCAGGCGTGTTCGCAATGCTATACTGGCGGTCGGCCGTGTACCGGTGCTCCCCGCCCTCCATCGTTCGCTCAGCCGCCGTCGTACGATCAACCTTTACCGTTCTCTCGGCCTACACCGTTCTCTGAGCCTCGCCAGCCTTCGCCATTCGACACTAGCAACATCGACCCGCGTCTGCTCGAGCAGGACCAGCAGCGTCAAGCTCAGCAGCAGCAGCAGCCGTCGCCGCCGCAGCCGCTGTCGTACTCGAACGGATACGTTCAGGCGTTCGGGAATTCCCCTCCGTCTACGGGCCCGGGAGGTCCAAATCTGGCTCAGTCGTCGTATACTGCTGGCCTTGTGGGCACCGTATTCGATTCTAATAGACCAGATGCAAGTAGTTCTACTCTACCGCCTCCAGGAGGCTTTGGCCAACAGCACGGGTCCGCAGCAGGCCCTTCTTCTGCGGGCCCTTCTTCTGCACCGGGCCCTTCTGGGTTTACGTCTGATTTCTTCCCACCTGCTCCTCCGCCGGCCCCATCTGGATTCACTTCGGATTTTTTTCCGCCTACTCCTGCGCCGGCCCCGTCTGGGTTTACTTCAGATTTCTTCCCACCTGCTCCTCCGCCGGCTCCATCTGGATTTACTTCTAATTATTTCCCTACTCCTGCGCCGGGTCCTTCGTCTGCGGGTCCTTCATCCGCGGGTCCTTCTTCAGCTGGCCCTTCATCTGCGGTCCCCTCATCTGGGTTCACTTCTAATTTTTTCCCTAATGGGGTCCCCAGTTATAATCCATTCACGGCCCCCAACTATTTTCCCGGTCCAGCTCCAGCTCCAGCTCCAAATCCTTTTCAGGCTCCTAACATTGCTGTTGCTCCTAATCAACCTCCTCCAGGCACCGCTTTGAACCCTGTCCCTGCTGCTGGCCCATCAAACAATAATAGGGACGACGAGTTCATTACCCCCGAACGGCGAGCTACCTTGCCACCTGATTGGGTAAACGGCTGGCCACCAAACGCTCGTCCGCCTGCAGTGGACCTTGCTGGGAATCCGATTAACGAATGCGACAACTGCCGTGTAGACCGCCCCGGCTACCCTTGCGATGCTTGGGTAGGAGTGTCTCCGGGGGTCGGTTGCACCCACTGCAAGAAGACTGACCGGTCTTGTCGTTGGGGCGACACCCGCCTGGCTCCGCGACCTGACGGCCTCACGGAGCCGTTGAGCTGTGATCGATGCACGGGAACGGACATCTTGGGTTGTTCCTGGCGACAGAGACCAACAGGCGCTCCCTATGAGCCTTGCACACGCTGTGTGCGTGAGGACCAGCGGTGCACTCAAGGATTTCTAAGCCCCGATCAGCTTCTTAACAGCAACAATACTCACTTCTCAGTCACCTGTTACCTACCTGGGTCTTTTGCAAGGCGGCAACAGGGAAGCAGGGAGAGGCAGAGTAATCCGACGAGAACGTTTTTTCCTGAGGGGCCGAGAAGTCGTAGCCCCATGCAGATCCGTACCACGGCCGCGAACAACGCTCATCCCCAGCCAGCAAACCCTCAACAGAACACGTTTAACCCTAATGTCTCCAGGCAGCTTAACCTGTCCGGACGGCGAACCGACAGAGGTCAGCAGTGTCTTCTGTGCGCTAGTAGAATGACTCAGGGCCATACCCGCGTAGTTAGCCGGAGATGTAATGCTGATCCCTCAGTCCCTAGGGGGTGTGATACGTGTAGCAGTTGGGGAGTGCAGTGTATAATAGATGGAGCAGCTCGTAAGTAATCTCTCCAAATCCTCTTTTCCCCCTTTTAATCCCCCCCCCCTGAAGTCATCATATGCTAACTCCTTATCCTTATAGTTCCACCTACTGTAACCGCCAACGCGGGCACTTCACGGGACCAAGCCCATTATTCTCATTGCGACACGTGCGTTCAAAACTACAGACCGTGCGACCGGAAACGGCCGTGCGACTCCTGTGTAATCTTTGGAGTAGTATGTCAGGGCGGAAATGCCAGGGGAACATTCCACCGAGGAGTTCCAGGTGATGACCAGCCCCTATACTACTTGAGAACCGGATACGGACAAGGTGGTGTCTTTACCCAACCCGTGGCAAGAGGTCCTCGTCCTGCTTTGCCTATGAATTACCATCTCCAATACCAGCCTTCACAGGATGGGCGTTCGGGGGTTGGTCTCGGTTATGTGGATCACGTAGGGCGGCCGCTCACAGTACCGCTACCACCTCCTGGGCAGGAGATGCACTACCCTGATACACCAGCTCCTCAACCAGCTCCTCAGCCAGCTCCTCAGCCAGCTCCTCAGCCAGCTCCTCAACCATCACCACAGAACGTTCCAGGTCCTCCCGATGCTCCTGATCAGCAGCAGAGTTCACCCCTTAACCCTCCAGCACCGGCACCTGTCGTTGTACTAGGCACACCGATTCATTCGCCATTAGGTTTTGAACAACAGCCTGTGCTAAAAACCCCCGCTGCCAACCCAACCCCTTCGCCGCCGTATCTTCCCCAATCAATTCCGGGATCTCCTCTCCAGCCACTGGAGCAGGTTCCGCAGTTCGAAAATTGGATGTTTGAAGTACCGGCCCAGAATCCCGATGCTCAGTTCCCATCACCCGTTGTCCCGCAAAACCCGCAGGGATATAATTCACCATCTGATGTATTTAAATCACCCACCGGCTTTACAGAACCGTCCCTGGGTCCAGCTTTACACCCGGATGGATCGCCTTATCCCCCAGCAGGCTTTAATGAGCACGGGATGAGCGAGCAGCAGCTGGGCGACTTCCTTTCCGCCTGGACGAATCAGGGCGGGTCGCCAGAGTCTCATACATTAGGTCGGTCTCCCGTGCCACAGTGGAATCCTGACGATTTTATTGATTTTGGCTCGCCGGAGGCGGAGCCAGATGCGGGACCTAGCGGGACGCAGTAGTAAGTCGTAGATGTGTGTGCTCCCTCTCTCGTAGCTTTCTCCGGTATGTCGGTAGGTGCAACAAGGCGAAGTCAAGGTATGTTGTCTCCCGTGCTTCTAAGGGTAAGTCGTAGAGATTACATGGCGTGCAAATTCTTGAGTATACGATCGACCGGCTGAGCGAGTATAAGAGCCAAGGTAAAGGTAGGACATTGCGATGACTACCTGATGATTTTAATCATAGTTGGATATTTATTATCGTAAGTATTATTTAGTAACAGTATGCGTTTATCTAACCTAGAGATGTAAGTGATCCTTAACCAACACTTTGAATTGTGATATGCCATGTTGAATATATTTCTGAAGAGTATGTCTACCTCGCAGCGGAGTCTCTTTTAAGGGGCTTCACCCCAATCTTCGATATAGAAAATTGATAATCGATGTAAAGTTTAGCTCTTCAACTGCGGCATGAAGTGGATCGAAAGACTGAGTCAAAGAGCTCAAAATCACATAGCATCACCTCATCTACGAAGATATCTCACTTAGGTATGCAATATAAACGACTTAGAAATACCCAGATAAGCATATACGACAAGGTAACAGCAACTTTGTTAATAGTGCACCACATAATCTAACAAACGAGTGTCTTATCCAAGAAACTCTTCTCCAGCTATCTCCTCATCACATCCACCAATAATAAACAGCACCTTACCAGATAAATCAAGCATCCACGCCTCTGCGGTCTATACGACAATCAAGGTAGTTTCTCTTTGTAAAAGCCCAACACTGTTATTCTACGCCCTGCCCCTAAGAACAAAGAACTTAACTTAAACGATAGTTGGTAAAAGAGGAAGTGTGCTTACAACCACGTGGTCATCATAAGTACAGCAACAAAGCCGTCCCTAAAAAAGAGAGACAGAGAGACATCTCCCACGTGTCCATGGATAATAGAAGCTTCATATATAACACACTTCACAAAGGCAATTAAGAAGTAAGACAAGATGAATAAGGTACCTTTGATACCTCGCATCTCCCTCGCATGAATCTCAAAAGGCGAGCCCTCGCAATTGACGAACTATCTATAATTACGACCTCGGTTGTAGTCCGAGCCTGGGACCGAATAGGGGGTAGTTATACGCAATGCCAAAATAGTGACTGCTGACTATTTGCTTCCAAGTATGACATTACAACCGATCGCATTCATTAACCTCGAGCCATTTGCACGATATTTATCTAACCCTACACCTAAAAAGTAGACCATGAACCCTCGAGCCATCAATGGTACTTGTTCGGCTATTAAACGTAACATCTCAAATAAACACACATCCCGCATAAGGGGGGCAGAATAGAATAGAAATTTTTTTTTTTCATAACTCATCAAGTCGCACAGAAACAAAGTGAGAACTCCTCGACGATAACACAAACAAACAAACAAATCATACGGCTCATGAATTATAAAAAATTTTCATCATTACGCGTTTCCTATTATACATCATCTTCCTATTTATGGTCCTCAAACCCCGGACATCGAATATCGAACGGCTTCTTTTGATTATGCGGCGTGCATATCATCTCGTTGGCGAAACTACGCCAGCGATCTAGCAGATCGGTAGTTTTCACTCCGTCGTGCTGCGGGTAGAAGCTAAGGTGCCCGACTACGGCGCGCGTATCGATGATAAAAGGTCGGCGCGTTCGCTTCGGGATCGTGACCGTGATGTCTTGCTCGTCGTCTCCGGCGATCGGGAGAGACTTCTTGATGTCGTGGCCCCATAAGGCGACGAAGTTGAGGTTATAGCGTTTGTATTGGGTATTGTACAGCTGTTCTGCTCCAGGACCTCCCTTATTTTGGGCCTGGTATTTCAGTACCGGTGAGGATGAATTCGTGATGTTAGGGAACTCCATCGGCGATCCGAAGAAGTAACGTGAGATGGCATTATCTTCCAAGTTCTTCAACAACGAGTATTGCTGCTGGCTCGCAATAGCCCAGGATTTCCACGCCGCTTCGTACATGGACTCGACACCCTTATCGCCTCCACGTAGATAATTGAGTCCCATCGGAGTTTTCATTAGATCAAAGGGGGCGTCCGGTAGTAACAGGAATGGGTGACCGTTATATGGGGGCTTAGGGTAGATCTCATCATCCATCGCTATGCTCTTGAGATTGCTGATCTTCAGCTCTGGCAGGCTTGAAGCTGGGAAGCGGCTCTTTTCGGATGGTCGCCATGACTCGGCGGCAGCAAATGACGGCTTCTCACTCGGGTCAGGTCGGAAGGCGTGGATGGCACCAACATGGAAGTGCTCATAGCCCGTAAGAGGGCTGTTGACTAAATTCGCAGAAATGGCAAAGGGGTGAGGGATTGCGATCCGGGTATGAACCAACTGAGGAATAGCATCCGGGTGGATGAAAATCTACAATAGAACGGGTTAGAAAACCTCATTTCATAGTTATTGGCAGCCACAAGAACAACCTACAATATCATCGTCGATCTTCACGTAGATAGTATCGTTCTCCACGACTGAGTCCCATATACATCCATAACTTGATCCTTCGCAAGTACCAGCTTCAACGATGTGGTAGTGTTCTTTCCTTTGCGAAACAAGGCCGTTTAAATATTCGAGATCGTCTTCGTTGTTCGTATGTACCATGAACCGGATTTCGTCAAGGTATCCCCCGTTTACGGCGAGATTTTGTTGTAGGTAACAATCTAAGAAGTCGACCGTTCTCTTGCGGCCGTAGAAGACCAGCGCGATGATTTTAATGCCCTCAGGCTTCTTCCACCCATCTTTGGGGCCATGGCTCTTCAGTCCTGCTGTGCTATTCTGCGGAATCGGCGTGTATTGACCCTTCGCACCCACAGGCCAAGTAGTACATTTTCCGGCTAAGTCGTCGGGTTTGTCAGACGCCAGAAGGCCGCCTAAACGTTGAAAGGGTGCTGATCGATATAATTCGTGATGGGTCACCTCAAAGATAAACATGAAGAGACCGATAACAATTATGCCTATAACGATTAATCGCCTTACTAGACGATGATGTAGGTAGTGCAACAACCAGTCGCGATCTACCACCATCATCGCGGCGAGCTTAGATCGAGCGCGACGGAAATCCATACGTCCTTCGTCCCATGCCGAATCGGGACGCGTTAACGGCCTTGTAACCGGTGATCCTCTCATAGATGATATATCAAAAGCCCTACTGAGGGCAGGAAGTATGCGACAATGGCATTGCCAAGGGAGATAACGGCGGAGACTGCGAGAGACGATGCTTATTATTTTTTATTTTTTATTTTTATTTTTATGAGAGTCGGATGGCGCCAAGCGGATAATATATGCAAATTAAAAGTGACCTGGCCTAGAAGTACCAGTTGGATGGCACGGTGCAGCGAGCCGAAAGACAAAGATCCGCCATGACCAACAGGGCGAGATGGGGTCTAGACATCTAGGCAACTGTATTATTCATTTACTTAGGAGTGGCTCATCTGAAGAGATGAGGGCTGTGATGGGCCTGAATTGGTCAAGGATTAAGTAGCCCCTGAAATGCCAAGCACACGAAAGGACCCGTAACAAATCCTACGAGAACTAAATGAAGTGGAGGGGTCCATTCTATGTGTTGTTGAAGAATAAAAAATTAATAAAAAGTAGGTACTACATATTAATGGGGAAAAATGTTTGGGTGCGTGACACTATATAATGTTTACCCTCTTAGGGAAATTATTCGCAAGTTTATGTTGTAGGAAGAAACCAATAAAACGCGTTAAGCTTCTAGAACTGGGATCGAAATTGTTGGCGCATTGATTGCGCTTACTGGCTTAATAGATTGTAACCTTACCTGTACCTATTAATGTATGTAAGGTCCCTGAGTTGATGTGGGGTTATATTATATAATCACACACTTTACATGCAGACATCCAATCAGATATATGCACCTGCTTTAATTGATTTAGCGCTTATCAGCGCAGAAGTACGAAAGGTTTCGTCTGTTATCCGAAGGTTAAATTACCTGGTACTTAAATATGTATTTTGGTAACTGGCGCCATGGCGTAGAAATAATGGCACCATTTCGATTTGAATGTTTAATTTTAGAATTTTCATATCATCAACGTTATAGTCAACTAGGTTAAGCAGGTAGTTTTACTTAATTTTATTTTATTAAAATTTTAATAGGCTTTTATAACTTTAAACCACGATACTAACATTTCGGCTTTTGGTTAAAAGTTAAACATTGTTATAAAATAAAATAAACAATAAAAAAAGACTATTGCTATTGGTACACCCTCGTTTTGCTATCGGAGCTTATTGGTACACCCAATACATTCAAATACATCCCACCCATTTTCAAGTCCTAATATACTATAATGTATGAACCCTCATAACTTTTTCAATACAACAAACCAACATATACAACATATACCGCTATTTTTGCCTCAATTAGAGCTTTCGAACGATATACGTCTCAATTGGATGCATGCGTTATTTCAAAAGTTATTTGAGTATACGTTTGTATTTGATTGAATATTTAATTGAATATAAATGCGACCGCAAAAGAGCCTCCCGCAGAGCCTCATCCAAAGCCTCATCTAGAAGCCTATCGAATCTATCAACCCCTATAACTTATTCAATCAGACGTTCCAACATATATGATTTACATCGTTAGTTTCGCCTCAATTAGGGCTATCTAATGATATAGGTCTCAACGGGATGCATGCAGTACTGTCAAAGTTATTCGAATATATAGTTATTCAATTTAATATAAATGCGACCGCGTGGTAGGATATCACGTGGTCTCCCCAGGAGTCACCACCACCACCAACACATATACTCGAATAACTTTATATTGAAACGCTGCACCAGGCTGATACCTATATCATTAGAAAGCTCTAACTGAGGCGAAACTAATGATGTAAATTATATGAGTTGGGCTGTCCAATTGAATAAGTTATAAGGGTTGATATAAGGGTTGATAGGTAAAATGTGGTTTAGTTGATTTAATTGAAATAATTGGTGGGGATGTACCTGTTGTACAGGGTGTACCAATTAGCCCCCGATAGCAAAACGAGGGTGTACCAATAGCAATAGTCTAAAAAAAATCATTAAATTTATTAAATTAAATAATGACATGGAATTTTGTTTGTTTTTTGTAAAATGTACTTAAATACATTTTAACACGTGACTTTCGGTCACGTGTTATTTAAACGTTTATTATAAATAAATGTTTATAAAAAAATAATAATAACGTAAATCATTAATTAATAACTTATATAAATTAATAATTTAAAAATTTATATTTTTTTAATTAAATTATTTATTATATAATAATAACGTTTAAAATTAAATAAAAATTAATTTAATTTTTATTATTAAAAGTTTTTAAATTAATTTAATAAATTTATATATTATAATTTATATTATTATAAATATTATAACGTTATTAATTTTATTATTATTTTATTATAAAATTATTTTTAATAATTATAATATTATTTTTAACGTTAATACTTTTTTTTTAAATTTATAACGCGTTTTTTTTTAAATAAAAAGTTTTTTTTTATTCGTTAAAATTATTTTAATAACTTTAAATTAAAAATTTAAAAATAATTTAAAAAAAAGTATTTTTTTTAACCACATTTTTTCCCAATTAATCACATTTTAACATACTTTTTTAAAACATTTTTAAATTTTTAATTTAAAATAATTTTAAATATTTTTTCTTTATTTAATATAATAATAATTAAATTAATTAAAAATATTAATTTTAAATAAATAAAATCTTTATATAAAAAATAAATATTAATTCGATTATTTAAATAAATTATTATATATAAAACGTACGCGTTTTAAACCGAAATTAATTGTAACGCCGGTCGTAACGCCGGTTATAACGTAATAACCGTAATAAACACGGTAATAAACGTTAAAACCTATAATATTATAACGTAATATTGTAAAAATATGTAAAAAAAGTTAAAAAATCCGGGCAATTATATAAATAACTTTGAATTAAAAAATAGAAGGTATTTTAAACGTGGTTATAAATGGTTGTAAATGTAAACGTGTGGGTGTAAATGTATAAATATAACGTTAAAATTATTACGTGTTTTTAAACGTTAAAGTTTATAATATTATAACGCGATATTATATAAACATGTAAAAAAAATAAAAAGGTAATAAAAGCAAAAAATTAATCCCGAATAATTAAAATATAAGGTATTTTAAACGTGGTTGTAAATGGTTGTAAATGTAAATGCGTGGGTATAAACGCGTGAGTGTAAATGTAAATGCGTGAATATAACGTTTTAAGGTTATTTAAACGTTAAAGCTTGTAATATTATAACGTAATACCGTATAAATATGTAAAAAAAACAAAAAGGTAACAAAAGCAAAAAACTAACCTTAAGTGATTAAAATAAAGGATATTTTAAACGTTATTATTACTTATTATGTTATTATTAATATAGTTTTATTAAATGTATATAAAAGTTAAAGTTAAAAGTTTTATATATTTAAGTTTAATAAACCACGTGTAAATTAAAAAAAAACTGCACGGTTTTATTTAAGTTATAATGGTTGATATCGTTATAAATATAACGGTAAACCATTTAAATTTAATGGATAAACCATTATTTAATTTTTAATTTAACGTGTGATTAATATAATATTAATAATTTAAAAAACATATAAAATACGGTGTTAAAATTTAAACATGTACGAAACTTTTAATTTTAACCTTCGTACCAAATATGGTTAAAATGTTAAATAACGGTTAAAACTAAAATTTAAAAAACGCTTTTTTTAAAACTTATAAATACAAATACACGGACTAAAGGTTTTGTGGCGCTTATGGCACCAACGAAAAAAAAGCGAAAACAAACGAAACTTTACCATTTTTTAAATTTTTAATTTTAACACATTAAAATAACGTTAGAAACATTTTTTACGTTTAAACTTTTTAAAATTATTATGGGAAATTAATAAATAATTGATAAATAATTGATAAATAATTGATAAATAATTGATAAATAATTGATAAATAATTGATAAATAATTGATAAATAATTAATAAATAATTGATAAATAATTGATTAATAAATAATAAAAAATTAATAAAAAATTAAATGTTTTCGACGGATTTTACCGTGCAAGTTTATAAACACGTAAAAACGTTTATGCGAGTTTATAAATACATGCGTTTTTTTAAATTTTAATTATTTATTTTTTATTTATTAATATTTAAAAAATACATAATTTATTTTTTGGAAATTTAAAGCTTTTTTTTTTAATAAAATTATTTTATATAATAATTTATATATAATTTTATTTAATTTATTAATAACTTTTAAAATTTTAATTAATAAATTAAATTAATAAATAAAAATTTTATTATATATAAAAATAAATTATAATATAATTTCGTTAATATTTTTTAATATTTTAAATATTTAAAATAAATTAAATAACTTAAAGTTTAAAATAAAAAAACGCATAATTTTAACAATATTAAATTATAAAATAATTTAATTAAAATTTAAAAAAATTAATTTAATAACCGTAAAATTAACTTATATATTTTTTTTAATAAAAATAATATTATAAATTTATTAAAAAATTAAAAATTTTTTTTTTTTAATATAAATTAAATTTTATTATATTAAATTTTTAATAACTTATTTATATATACATTTTAAAATTAAAAAAACGTTTATATTTAAAAATTAAAATTTATAAAATAAATAAATAAATATATAAAAACTTATAATATTATTATTATAATAATATTTATAAAATTTTATTAATATATAATTTTTATAATTATTTAATATTAAAAAACGTTTAATATTTTTTATATAACTTTTTATATATTTATTAAAATATATTAATTATTTTAAATTAATTTTATTTATAATTTAACCGTTTTTAAATAATTTAATAACTTAATTAAATAAAAATTTACTATTATAATATTATAAAATAAAATACATTTT